AGGTCCCACAATGCGCCTACACCGGCCGCATTTGCGGTCGGGGTAGACGACGGATGGGGCCCACCTACGAAGGCTGTCCAGGCCTACACGAGATGAGGCAGGATAAAGAGGGATAATCCCCCTCGATCCCAAATCATTGAGGCCAAATTCTAGCCATAGAATAATGGCGTGGAGTGTAAGAGGAGTGAGGAGGGAGGGGAGAAGGTAAGTTTTTTTTATTGATTGTTGGTTGCATTGATCGTTGGTTATTTGGTTGACAGAGTTGACAGAACACTGACAGATTATATGTTTTGCGACTGACAGATGAAGTGGGAGGAGGTAGACCCATTGAACGAAGTTAGTTACATGAGTCACTTGAGAAAATAGTGATTTATATTTTCATTTTATGAAAACTCAAATGTTGACAATAAAATGACGGCAGTAGAATTTTTTGGTTGTACATTTTTAGCCTTTGGGCCCCCATTTGCTATGTTCGTATTTACAATAGCTCATGACCCAGTACGAATAATAATTCTTATAGCAGCAGCATTTTTCTGGTTAATGTCTTTACTACTGTCGTCGCTGTTATGGTTCCTAGTGGTCCCCCTACGAAAAGATCTAGTATTTGGTTTGATATTCTCGGTGTTATTTCAAGAAATCTTTAGATTCATGATTTATAAGATGTTACGAAGAGCAGAGAATGGACTAAAGAAAATAACAGACGATAGTGCTACATTAATTGAAAATAAACATATTTTGGCCTATGTTAGTGGACTAGGATTTGGAATAATGAGTGGAGCGTTTTCTTTGATTAACGTTCTTGCAGACGCAGTGGGTCCAGGTACTATGGGACTGAAATCTGGAAATGAAATGTTTTTCTTAACTAGCTCTGCCATCACTTTGTGTTTCATCTTATTACACACATTTTGGGGTGTAATATACTTTAATGCTTGGGATAACATGAATAAACTTCAAATAGGATATGTTGTTGCCTCCCACATGGTTGTGTCTTGTCTAACCCTGTTGAACAGATATCAGATTTATTCGGCATCGTTAATTCCACTGTATTCGATTGTAATTATAACAGGGTTGTTTGCCTTTAAAGTGGCAGGGGGCTCATATGCTTCCTTTAAAAGTTGTCTTAATTTTAATTCTCGATAAACGCTGAGAGTAGTCTATGTAGTTTGAGATTAATTTCTATTTATTTTAATACTATTTGTATACTGTATAAGATTTAATATTTTATTTATATAAAATTTGTAAATTACTAAATATTACGATTAATAAATAATTTTTTTCAATGCATTTCTTTTATTGAATTCATTCTCAGAACGATTATTCTGTTAAAGAAGTCAGTTTTAAATATGTACCGCGAATCAATGTAAAAACAGGAATCTGTAAGTTTTGACAGAATCTCCCCTTCCACTTATGCACTAGCACTAGTATTTTTAAGAAAAGTGTTTTTAAGGTTAAATTTTGAAAATAGTATTTGTTTTGTGTTTCTCATTAAAATTTACAATATTTTTGATGATTTAAAATAGTAAACTAAAATGTTTAAAACTTGTCCAGATCCTATAGATGTTCAAGTAAGTATAAGTGGAAGGTGAATTATTATTTTCTTATATTTTTAATCATTTTAGGACCTACAGTTTAAATTACATTGTAGACTAAAAGTTTTCGATAATAAGTTACTAGATACTTTTCCTAAGTCAAACAGTTTAGTTTCATGTGCTAGTCGGTATGGATTATTGTTTGTAGGCTCCAATACTTCTAATTTGCAAGGTTTGTACAACAAGGCATTGTATTGGAATTTGAGTTTACAAATTTAAAAATTAAACAAATATATTTAATATTTCAGTTATTCAAGTAAAATGTGTGGAAAACTACACTCCTAAAGACAAAGATATTTCAAACTACTCTAGGCGGAATGTCCCATTACCATCGCGCCCACAACACATATGTGTGAACTGTGACAGTACTATTTTAGCAGTTGTAACAGAAAGAGATAACTGCCCTAGTGTTGCATTTTACGATGTATTTTCATTTCTCAAACAAAATATTTCAATAATTAAGGAGGTACGCCTTTCCTCTACTCCCGGTACATATGTTAAGGAAATTGGTTGGAATCCCACTTTACCATTAATATTTACGGCATGTAAAAGTGACGGAACTCTGGGAGTTTATGAAATTAAAGGTAAGCGCTGTATTTTTTTCGTATATGTAACATGTACGTTTCTCATGTAAATTTCAGGAGTCTCAATAAACATCAATGAACTCCCCGCAGCCTCCGAAGCTACCTGTTTCTGTTGGAGCCCTAAGGGAAAACAAATAGCTGTCGGTTCAAGGAACAGTCGAATCACTCAGTACAAACCGGACTTAAAAGCAGTGAAAGTTGTCAATCAACCACCCCTAGAGGGAGCTCACTCTCTTATTTCCCTTCAGTGGGTGTCTAATTATCAGTTTATTGGGATTTATCAGTCGGCGGAGCCAGAAGGCACCGCTAAACTAATTGTCGTTGATGCTCCAAAAACTGGCGATCCAGTGTACACGAATTATGAAGATGTTTGCTACAGCGGCACGACTAGGTTGCCGCAGTTCTACATGATCCTTCAACAACACTGGTGAGTTACGTTTTATAGCTAGCTACAGCGTAAGCACGTTGTATAATAAAAGCACAATTGTTATTAGGTTCTGTATTTATAACTACATGTTTGTATCATATAGGAATATTCTTATGGTGGCATCTTCCAACAGCACCGAGTTGGGAGTGTTAGGTAGTACTGGCGATACTTGGACGCAGTGGATAATTTCAGACTCGGCAAGACCGGAACTTCCTCTAAGTCCCGATAGGCAAGAAACTCTACCTGTCGGTTTAGCCCTGGATATCAGTTCTACACGACCTTTACCTTGGAACGAGTCAACCATTCCACCCTGCCCCTATTTGCTTATACTTTCTCACCACGGGGTCTTGTGTTTCTTCAGCGTGGTGAACTTAAAGGAAGGTGTCCCCAGCATATGCGCCCCTCCTGATCCCGTTTCTGATTTAAGTGGAATTCAACAGTTCGTTACACCCGTGGAAAATACACCTATTCAACCGACTGAGTCCGCTCAGGTACCGCCTCCAAGTGTAAGCGTTACTCCAGTGAGTCAAGCTACGGTGTTCGGAGCCAAGGTTCTAACTCAGCCTCAACCGACTTATGCAGCACCTGCGACATTATTCGGTGCTAAACCGACGGATAATAAACCGCTATTTGGAGGTCAAACCACCTTAACTCCAATAAAACCCCAGCAGTCCGCCGCACAACCATCATTTGGAGGCCAAACTTTCATAACTCCCATAAACAAACAACAAACCGGCACTGCTAATGTTACGGTTAATCCCGCCGAAAAGTACTCTGCGATATTTTCGGCTTTGAATACACCCACAGCCATACCCGCAACCACTGATAATAAAACTATAACTATTCCCATTCTAAATATCCCAAAACCTGCGCCACCTGTTGAGCAGTCAGTTGCGGCTCAACAAAATGTTAGCGTGACTTCCGTGAAGCCTGTAGAGCCTCCAAAGCCGGTGGCAAATTTAAAAATCAAGGAGGAAACCGACGTTCTGCTGGCTCAAATGTTGAGAGATGAAAGCACCTCTCTAGAATCCGAACTTAAGGCGTTGTTGCATCAAGGCAGGTTAGTCAACATCACCATCGGTTCTGAAGATGAAAAGATTGAGTTAGTTACGAAGATAGAATATCTACAGGAGTTTATCAAGGAGATCGTCGACATCAGCATCGGCGAAAACGCAGAGGTAAATTTTTTTAACCTTTTCTTTTGTCATTTTCATACACCACGGGAGAGGCTAGTGCTGACTAGCTGCTAATCTCATCTTTCGTCATTCTTGTACATAGTTTTTGTTAATGTCCCACAGAAATTTAACAATGAAGATACACAAACACCAAACTAAATAAATAACTTAGTTACTTTCATTACATTATTTTCCTGTAACATTAAATTAGTAAAACACAAATTATATGTCACTTCCAATAAAAGTACTTCATGAAAAAAGTTGTGAAATTACCTAGTTACAAACGGATAAACTGAAAATTAAAAAAAAAATGTTATAAAATGGTAACATATTCAGCCATTCTTGTTTTGCTGAATTAATGTCCACTTATCCAGGTTAGCTGGAAATCAAGTCAAGGTCATTTCATTTGACTTAATCTCAATTCAAGCTCTGCAGGTGACCTTATAGGGCTAAGCTATCCCTGAATTCAGATTCAGCGACCTCAAAAGCATACATACGTACAGGTTAACATTCGTGAAAGGCCTTTTCTTTACTTTGACCTTGAAATGATCTTGACTTGACCAAAATGTGACCTTGTAGGGCTAAGCTATTCCCAAATTCAGCCCCCCCCCCAAAAAAAAACATATACGCACTGGTTGAAATTCAGTACAAGCCTTTTCTTTAGTTCCATTTTGAAATGACCTTGAATTGACTTGAAGGTGACCTTTAGGGTTCTGCTGTCTCCATATTCAGATTCTGCGAACCCAAAAACTTATACACTCACTGGTCAAAATTCAATACAAGTCTTTTCTTCAGTTTGACCTTGACCAGGTGACCTTAGATAGCTAAGCTATCCAAGAATTCAGATTCTGCGAGCCCAAAAGCATTGTACCTACTGGTCAAAATTCATTACATGCCTCAGTTTTTGAATCCACCAACTTGAAACTTCGTGAAGCTTACTCAGTCCTACAGCCAAAATCACGCACTTCCCCCCTCTATATCTCTGAAACTATCCATAGGATCACTTTGGGCCCGTGAGAACTTTTGATCAGAATGTCGAGAACTATAACACTGCAATTTCAGCAAAATCTAGCTGGACCCAATTTCCATTAATTTTGTGCGGGGTCCTTTCACATACTTGTTAAAGTTTATGGTCCTCTTTTTGATTAGATAAAAGGGTATTCTCAAAGAAACATCAGATAATTAGATTTATGCCCCAAGACTTTGACGTGGAGGCACTGTTCCTTAATATCTTTCTAAGTGATATTCATGAGTGCTTCTCCTATTGTAAATTTTTACTATCTGCAGACGACTTGAAATTATTCTCAATTATAACTGACACTTCCGATTTTATATAATATTCAGCACATCGTCGATAATCTGTCTCAATCCTTTCAAATGTTATAGATTTTTAACGGCAAAAGCAAGGTTGAACGCAAATACCTTATTAAAAATATATCATAAGATTCTGTTCAGCCTATTACAGGCTTTTACGGTGCTAATTCTACTTCATCTCCATATCAAAACTGCTGTTTTAAACTGGAATAAATACAGTAAAAATTCTTGAGATACACAATGGAGTTCGATTATAAACCAAGAACAATGATATACACACTAAACGGATGACGTAATAAGCAAATTAAAAGTTAATATATGTGACACCAATGATTTAAAAATGTCTTGTACTTTTTTCCGGGGTTGGATTTCATGTTACTCCTAGGGCTACCAGAGGAATGTTTCAGTTTATATCTTTCTGCACAGCACAAATTATAGATTTAGTTTTTTTATTGCTTAATGTTCGTCAATTCTTCCAATTGTTTATTTTTTATTTCATTTTGAGCTTTTGTAAGACAGATCTTAGGCCAGGACATTTATTTTATTACAAGAAATGGCGGACAATGCAGTTCCAGGGTCATCTGGGGCACAACAACATAGAATAAGAAACCGCGCGCCATTATTCCATGGCTAGAAATTGGCCTCAATGATTTGGGATCGAGGGGGATTATCCCTCTTTATCCTGCCTCATCTCATGTAGGCCTGGACAGCCTTCATAGGTGGGCCCCATCCGTCGTCCACCCCGACCGCAAATGCGGCCGGTGTAGGCGCTTTATGGGACCTCCTTTTGTCCTGGCTGGGCCCCGCCGGCTAGGGCCCTTGAAAAAGCTTACTGAAGATGAAATGCTGGCTTTGGCATATTATAGTGATTTGAATGAAGAACCTTTTTAAGATTCAGGGAGTGAGTGGGGCGGAGCAGAAGAATTAGCGGAAGATTTTGCAGACGATTTAGGCGACCCACTGGAGCCACCTCTAGACATTCAAAATGAGGAATTAGACCCTGATATGTTCAAATTTTATCATTTGTCGCCGACACTAGTGCGTCAGTGGACACTAGGGATAATATATTTTTAAACAGTGCCCCTGATGCATATGTGACAGTATATTTTTTGTAAAAAATATGAAGTTTTTAAATTTTAAAACAATATGATTCTATATTTTTATAAAAATTATTACTAATAATCCCAAATTAGTTGATTGGGATTGCTGAATTACATACAGTATTTGATGGGCAGCAAACGTGTTAAAGATGGGACCGGACCCACAAATATATTAATGAATAATGAATAAACACATACATGTACAATTAAATTTACTGGAATCAATTTTTAGGTACATTACTTGAAGCAAAACCTGATACAATCGTGGGCGTGGTACGAGGAAGCTCGTTCGAGATACAACGCTTCAAAAGACGAGACGGTGTCGTTACTATTAAGATCTCAACCGTTGGATTCGGCCACAGAGAAGAAGCAGGCCGACATAAGGAAGATGATGTATTATATAGAATCTCAAATAACACAGGCCAGTAAGGCTTTAGACGAACAGTGGGATAATTTCCAAGACTATGCCAAGAAGGTGCACAGGACGAAAATGCCCACGATGGAGGCCATCTTTCAAGCGATGGTAAGGCAAAACGTGATTGTGCAGAAACAGGTATGTGTCGTCTCAGATATAAATATGAAATAATTTTGAATACCTATATTTTTTTTTAGTGCTACGTACTGAAAGATATAGCGGGTAGATTGAAGGGTAGGGGTCGTGCTCCTAACGTTCCCTCGCTTCTTCTTTCCATAGAGAATACTAAAGACCTGGAAGACAGCCTGAACCGTCTAAAAATAGAACACCCCCAAGATATGCGCCAGGTGCAGTACCAGCGTGTCTTAAACAGGATGAAGAACCTCTCCGAAACGAAAACAAACAAACTACGAAATTTACTAAAAAATCAGGATGTGTTCCATATAACTGCCGCCAAACCACAGTTATCTTCCTCTCTCATGCTCCAATCGCCAGAGAGTAAAAGCAAACGTCTACTCTCGAATTTGGCAACTGTAGGAACACCCTTATCTCCCCTATCGGTAACGGCGCCTGTACCGAAAGCTTTGAGTTTTGCACATTCTACACCCATTCGCGAAACTAAACCCGAGATTAAACCAATGGAAGCCCTGCCGAGTACAACCCAAACAGACGCCAAACTGTTCACTTTTAAGAAAGCGGAAAAAAGTAATTTAACCGCTACAACCAACACATTCATACCGCTTTCTAAGAGCGCTTCTGTCTTCAGCAATTTACCCCAAGAAAATCTAACGCAGGCTCCCCTGGCAACTCACACCCCGTCAGCTTTCGTACCGACACAAGTTTTCGGAGGCGGCAGTAAGTTCAGTTTTACTTCCACCACTACTACAACAACAGCCTCTGCGACGAGAACCGCCCCCATCAGTGCAACACCCGCGCCTACTTATTCCTTTGCCGCCGGCAGTTCCACTTTACCAAAATTCAGTGCTCCCACGACCCCTAAAACACCTGACACCGTGACAAACCTACCGAAACCGACTTTGCCACAGTTTAGTTTCGGAGGCGGATTGACGATTGCTCCCATCGGAGCAATTAAGAAAGACGTTACGACAACCGTTGCTGCGAACACACCCACGTTTGGATCAGCCGCTACCACAAAACCCAGTTTTAGTTTTGGTGGCACTTCGAGTCTTTTCGGCGCAAAGGCCGCCGCCGGGGTTAGTCCCTCTCCTCAGGCAATCGTTACAACCACCAGTAATCTTTTCTTTACGCAAATCAACAAGCCCCCGAGCGACACCGCAACCTCTACACCTCCGAGCACTTTTGGAAAACTTTCTGCTTTTAGCGCAGTGACCACCGGCGCTTCGAATGCAGTTAAGAATGAAGATTTGACCCAAACGAAACCATCCGCCGTTACAAGTAAGTTCACTACCGATGCCGGGTTAACAAAATCAGCCACAACGTCTAGCAGCTTCTATGGTTTCGGTGGGGCTACCACGGTCGCTAAGCCCACGTTAACCAGTGTGGATTCCACGAAACTTTCAACAATCAGTGCAACTGTAGCACCTTCCGTGTTTGGTACAGCAGCAGCAAAACCTTTATATCAGACTAGTTCAGCTCCTAGTACAACTACTGAAGTTACTTCTACAAAGCAATCTTCGACGTTTAGTACCCCTTCAACCACCGCTTCAATCAGTACCGTTTCTAGTGGTACATTGACGTTTAACGTTACCACGTCTACTTCTACAAAGCCAATTACATCTCCAACTTCTAGTGCCGGTACGGGAGTCTCGGTTCCGAGTTTATTTTTCGGTGGAGCGCAAAGTGCATCTACCGTTAGCTCCACTGTTCCGTCAAGCACAGTTTTTAGTTCTAATACTCCTATTGTCACAACTAAACCGTCTGTTTTTGGTTTGGCTACGGCAATACCCCAAATAACTTTGGCGACCCCAGCTTTGTCCTCGCAGTTAGGTTTTAGTGTAGGAAGTCCGCAACTTCAGGAGACAAGTACATCCAGTGGTGTAAGTCAGACTACTAGTGGTACCGCAGTGACAGTCACGCAGCTGCAAATCTTTGGGACGAACAAAAGTACTGTTTCTGGGGATAGTACGACTACCCAGCCTGTTTTTGGCCCTGCTAAGACAACTGCCGCTCAGCCGTCTGGTTTTGAAGGTGCACAAAGTACTACTTCTGGAGTTAGTACCGCTACTCAACCAACTTCTGTTTTTGGCAATACAAAGACGACTGCGACAAGTCAACCATCCGTCTTTGATTCGGCAGTCACATCCTCACAACCCTCTATTTTTGGAGGAAGTCAAAGTACCACTTCTGGAGTTAGTACCGCTGCTCAACCGACCTCCGCTTTTGGTGCTGGGAAAACAGTAGTCACAAGCCAACCTTCTATTTTTAGTTCTGCGGTCACATCTTCGCAACCCTCTATTTTTGGAGGAGCTCAAAGTACTACTTCTGGAGTTAGTACAACTACTCAACCAACCTCCACTTTTGGTGCTGGGAAAACAGTAGTCACAAGCCAACCTTCTATTTTTAGTTCTGCGGTCACATCCTCGCAACCCTCTATTTTTGGAGGAAGTCAAAGTACCACTTCTGGAGTTAGTACCACTACTCAACCGACCCCCATTTTTGGTGCTGGCAAAACGGTAGTCACAAGCCAACCTTCTATTTTTAGCTCTGCGGTCACATCCTCACAACCCTCTATTTTTGGAGGAAGTCAAAGTACCACTTCTGGAGTTAATACCGTTACTCAATCAACCTCCATTTTCGGCGCTGGTAAGACAGTAGCCACAAGCCAACCTTCCATTTTTGGTTCTGCGGTCACATCTATACAGCCCTCTGTTGGTGAAGGAACCCAAAGTACCACTTCTCTAGCTGGTACCACTACACAATCAACCTCAATTTTTGGCGCTAGCAAGACAGCTCCCACAAGCCAACCTTCAGTTTTCGGTTCTGCAGTCACATCCGCGCAACCCGCTATTTTTGGTGGTGGTCAAAGTATTATTAGTGGAGTTAGTAGTACTACACCTACAACTTCTATTTTCAATGCTGGTAATACTGTTTCTCCTACCCAGTCAACTGTTTTTGGTGCCGCAGCACCGTCTACGAAACCCTCCATTTTTGGTTCTTCCACCACTGCCAAAACTACCGCCATATCAATTTTTGGAAATGCCAACACTACGACAACCCAGTCATCGATATTTGCTATTCCATCTACAAGTTCGTCTGCTAATCCGTCAATTTTTGGTGCAACATCTGCCTCCAATCAGTCATCTCTTTTTGGAATGAATCAAGCAAGCAGCACTCAAGGTTCTATATTTGGGGGAGCTGCAAGCGCCAGTTCAGCTCCCATTTTTGGTTCCACAGCAGAAACCTCACCTGCACAAACTTCTATATTTGGTGGTGTGAAAGCAACTTCCACCACTAAACCGTCTATTTTTGGTGCGCCTCAAACAAGCACCAGCCAAAATTCTATATTTGGTGGAAGCACCGTCCCATCTACACAGACCCCGATATTTGGTGCACCTAGTACCAGCGCTACATCGCCATTTTCCTCTGGGTTTGGTACAACATCTACTTTGTCGTCTCCGTTTGGACAAACGAGTCCCAGTTTTGGTGTCCCTAAGACAACTGCAAGTACATTTAGTTCCGGTTTTGGAAGTCCGACAGGATTTGGTGCCACTCCATCTACAACATCCTCGATTTTTGGTCAACCAGCATCATTTGGAAACACCTCTACGTCAGTATTTGGCACTCCTACGACTGCTACGAACATGTTCGGATCTTCTACATCTACCTTTGGAGCTAACACTTCAGCTAATGTATTTGGACCGGCTGCTTCTTCGTCGTCGTTCAGCTTTGCTGGAACTCCGAGCAATGCTACTAATACCGGAGCGTTTGGTTTTGGGGGGTTAAATGTCGGTAGCCCTGCGACAACTAACAGCGTTTTTGGTGGAGGTGCGTCTTTCGGGCAAGCAACAGCAGCCAATCCTTTCGGTAGGACCACCGAACAAAAGTCCCCATTCGGTGGTGGTAGTACGAGCATCTTTGGCAATGCTGCGTCTTCTTCTGGCTCTGTATTTGGTTCCAATACTGGTTCGACCTTCAGCAGTAACACGCAAGGTGGTTTTGGTACTTCAGGCTTCGGATCCCCCTCAACTTTCGGTCAACAGTCGACGTTCGGCCAGAGCTCCTTCGGTAATACCTCTTTCGGAAGTCCACAGCCGGGCCCGTTTAGCGGTGGATCGGGAGCTGTGGCGCAGACTGGTTTTGGATCTCCACAGAGCTTTGCTAAGCCCTCGGGATTTGGCTCTTCGCCCGTATTTGGTGGGTCGCCTCAACCCGCGTTTGGAGCTGCTCCTAGTTTTGGGGGTGCCCCGGCCTTTGGCGCGGCTCCCGCTTTTGGTAGTCCCAACAAAATATTTGGAGGAAATACACCAACTGGTATGTACCGATGCGTAATAAACATGTATAAAAATTACAATGTTCTGGAATTTACAGCTTCATTCGGTTCCGCCTCAACCGGTAATGCTGGATTTGGCAATTTGGCTAATCAAAATACTGTGGGATTTGGCAATCTTGCTCAGCAAGCTGCATCTCAAAATTCTGCACCATTTTCTGGGTAAGTAGATTAGTAACTACTCTGTAGAGCAGCTGTCCCTGAGAAAAATCAAAATTGTTATATTTTGTTAATACCGGATTCGCGCCAAATTTGGTATACGGAGGTTTTCGGGGTCGCTGATCACGGATCCAAGGTAAATTTTGCAAAATTCAAGATGGCGGATCCAAGATGGTTACCAAATTTTCAAAAAATAACACATTTGCGTCAAATTTGGTATACGAGGGTTTTCGGGGTCATTGATCACAAATCAGATTTACAAAATTTGTTTTTAAAAATTTAATCAGTTACCTAAGTATTTTATTACCTGAGATTAGACAGAAAATCCATGGATAGATCTTTTACAAAGAAAAAAGAACAAGGTATAGCCAAAAAAAAGGTTAAAACATGATTGGGCACTCAGGTTATAAAGTAAACAAAAATATTCCAAAATGAATTTTGCAATTCTGACCTCGAATTCGTAATCAGCGATCCAGAAAATCCCCGTATACCAGATTTGACGCGAATCTGTTATTTTTTGAAAATTTGGTCGGCCATCTTGGATCCGCCATCTTGAATTTTGCAGAAAACCTGAAAACGGGACAATCCCGCAAAATCCGGTACGAATGGTCACTTTACCAATAAAATAAAAATAACACTTCGGATCTCAAAAAATAAACATTTTTCGAATTTAAAATTGACATTGAGTAGCAATTAAATTTAAGATACGACATGTACTTCGTAGGTTATCTTTCACCCACAATTGAAACTATTTTTATAATTATACAGGGCGTAACTAGAATGCTTGCCGAAACTTTATTAGTGCCACAATTTAACAGAAAAATGTCTTTTTTTTTGTGTCTTTAGAAACGTTTCATTTTTGATGAACAAAAATTATTAAAAGCGAGGTTTATTTAACATTGAAAAAAATATTAAATGATACTGAACCTTATTTTTATTTAAAAAAATTTTTATGCGAGTTTTCAGCATTAATTAGTTAGACGCAGAGCAGGATTAAGGGGGGTGGGGTGGCTACAGTGGCTGTAGCCCCGGGCTTCGGCAAGATTTGACAAAAATGAATTTTACCTTTTTTTTAGAATCAAGTGTTTAGGTTTTGAATTTTATATCGACAAGTTGCTGATTGCGATTTTTTTTTAAATTTAGAATCAAACTAACCGAAATTTAATATCGTTTTTTTCTTTTGAATCAAAAAAAATTATGATGACAATAAAAATTTAACGCTAGATGTTAAAGTTGAACCAAATCTCTTCAGCTGTTATTTTTCTAATTTTTTTTTATTTGTGACAGAATCCGCCACCAGTGTGCCAAAGCGTTCTAGATAGATCAAGTATATTAATTAATGTTAAAAATATACTTGAAGTGGCTAATAATGAATTTCTTTAGATTTTTTTTAAATTTTATATTTCATATAAATCTAGTCTTCATAAATGATCGCAAGCCACATGATTGCCCAATTTAGTCAACCAATATTGCACAGCTGGTACTGTCAACGAAAAATCGCTAAATACTAGCATCACCAGTGTTAATGATTCGTTTACAGTGAGCAATGACAAACTGTTACGTCTACACTTGATATAATGCGATCGCCGATTGGTTGAATAAAATCTCGTGAAAAATTACACCAATCACCAGCAGGTGAAACAGACTTGTTTTAATGTAACCTTGATCTTGTTTTAATTTTTAATACCGAAATTGAATTGCCAACGTGAAGAAAATACAGTTCAAAACAAACTTACTGGTCACGTGGCTTGTAATCATTTATGAAAGCTCAGTACTATATTAACTTCAGTAAAATTTTGAAAAATTAAATTTCTTTTCAGATCGTCTTCATTTTCAACTTGGCGGTAAGGAGCTTCTAACCTTTTCTTTTATATAATCTGTTCTTATATCGATATATTATAATTAAAAACAAAAATTATACAGTTTCCATTTATTGCTTTAATCCTTTACATCCTTATTCCGAAAAATGTGTACACTATTATCACTACCACCGGACACCAAATATTTCTTATTCGACCAGTCAACCGACAACACTTGTCCCTGATGCCCCTGTAAATTGTACAGTGGCGCTTTGGGGCTCCTCGTATCCCACAATTTCACTGTAGAATCGTAACCGCCTGACAGAAATAAGTGTTGATCATATTTGGACCAGGTGACGGAACTGACCCACAACGTGTGCGACGTAAACGTTGTTTTACAGATGGAACCCTCGGAAGACCTTGGGTCGTAAAGACGGATGTGTCTATCCGCCGAACTGGCCAGTAACGTGTTGGATAGTGGTGACCATGAAGAACTCAGAAAGGCCTTCTGTCCCACTATTTCATTCTTGATACCACAGAGCTGGAAAATAACAGTTGAAAGTGTATCAACCAATAAAATACCCACCTTTTTTTTGCTGGTTGAAATCGCAAATTATATTTTTACCTCTACATCCCAAAACTTAATTGTATGGTCCATGGAAGCTGTACAGACTTCATAGTTGTCCACCCAGTTAATGGAAGAAATTGTTTCTTTGTGACCCTTCAACGTATTTAGAGGTGTTTTGGTCACAAGGTCGGTATTGCCCCTTACTTTCTTATGGGCTGGTTCATCTCGGTCATCTTTTAAGGAGGTAGACCATAATTTTAAATTCGTATCCCATCCACCTGTAGCCAATCTTGATGAATTCGGACTGACCCCCACACTGTCGATACCCCTCTCGTGACCACGTAATATAGCCTTGGGTAATACGTTGTCAGATCCTGAAAATGTTGTTTAAAATTCTGAAATAAAAGTGTATTCACCTCATACCTGGTTCCCAAGACCACAATATTCCTGTCAAATCATGCGAAACACTTATAAAACCTTTAGAAGGATCTTTTTCGTCAAGCCATGAAACGGCTTTTACCACATTTTTATGTTCTTTTAGAGACACCACGGGTTTTCCATGTAATGTCCAAATATTAACTGAATAATCATAACAACCTGTCAAAATCCTATAACATTAAACATGTTAGAAAAAAATAGTACCTACAAAATAAACTTACCATTTGTCTGTTGTGTGAATCCCCGCCACCCAATCATCGTGTAAAAGTGAATCTTCTGGTTCTGGTGAAGGTGTTCTTTCTATATATTCTACATCAACTGTTACTTCAGTAGATACATTTCGTTCCTGTAAGTGTTCTATAATAGGAACGCGTAACAATTCACCAAAAACCAAAAAATCAAATTCTCTCGGTTTTAAAAAGTCCGAATTATTTTCTTTCAGCAGTTGGTTGACCAAATCATTTAAAGATTTGGTATCAATAGTCTGTGGCACGGATAATGGTACATCTGGTACAGCATATCTAAAAACAAATATATTTAAAATATTTCCAACATACATAGTATTTAATACATACGAATCTTGTTTAGTTATTAATCTAATTTGTAATTGACATTCGCTACTGTTCTGCATTTTTCTTATTATCACTAAGTATATTTACTTCTATGTAAAAGAAAATATATAAGAAATATATTAAAAAAACGTTGGATTGCCGCTTTTAAGTTAGGTTATGTTAGTTTGGTTACTTTCTTCTTCTTCTTTATAGCACTTGCCATTGTCACTTATCCGCTAGACCCAAGAGGGCCTTTCGATTTCACAAAAATAGTAACTATTACTAGCTAATAGCAACTTAGAGTTACTCTGAACTGATATTAGTTGCTAAGGTACTATTTTTGCCAAAACGAAAGCCCCCCAGGACATATAGCTCTAGATTAGAGAAGTATACATTTACCTTCATATGCATATCCCTCCAAGCAGGGAATCACCATACCTCTAGAGATAGATCATGTTAGAATGTAAACCTAAAAATAATTTATGCCCGTTTGCACCGATTATTACTTAAGTAGCGCTTAGTTAAGCAGAACTTAAATTTTAAGTGATTCATAAATTATTTTCTATTGCACCATCGCAAAATTTGTATCGCTTTGTTAAGTCAGAAGGACCTTGTAGCGAGGCTACTTTATTTAATAAATTTTTAGTTTTAAGGTTAAAATATCCAGTGAATTTTAATTTTACTGGATGATTATTCCCGCCACAAATCTTAAAGTTTAGATACTTTTTTAAACTAAGCACATTTTCCTGATGGATGACGTCAGTGATTGTTGTGGTGGATCTGTGATGGAATGTATCTTGGAAATGAAAATAAGTTTAAAACTTACAAGATAGAACAGAAATAAATTATTGTCATTTTGTATACCCTATAAAAGCATTAAAATCAAAGAGACAGGTACTTACAGTTTCTACATACCTATATAGGATATATCATTATGGATGATTCTATATAGATGTTTATTTATCAAGAAGTTAAAAGTTGGTACCTATTTTAAAATATTTTAAATAATCCATGTTTACTTACTTGTCAGTTGTATATTCCAGGTCTTCTTCTATTAATTCCAATAAACGAAGAACTGTTTCTTTATAGAGTCGGAACCTCTTAAAGAACGTGAAATCATCTAAATTTTCGGAAGGGCATGATCGTACATACAATTTTCGGGGAAAACCATAATCAATAATCTCTTATATATCTAAATCGTCTTCAAAAATATCCATGTCCATGTTTATTTCAAGATCAAGATGAGCGAAGATGAGGTTAGGTTATTGCACTTAAATTTAAGTTTTCTTTAAGCCTGGAAAAACGCGGGCTTAGCTAAGCAGAATTTAAGGAAATGATAAGCCTTGTTTAAAACACGGTACAACTGAAATTTTATTTTTAAGTGAGACTTAAGCTTAAGCTCTTCTTAAAATTGTCGGTGCAAACGGGCATTAGAGCTTCAGAAGTACTGAGATCAAATCACTAGACTAGATATTTTGCTTTCACCTAATTTATTTAAGTCTCCGTTAAGTGAACAATCGGATCCGGCGATCAGTCTTGATTCAAAATCTCACCAATCGGGTAAACAGTTGATAGATCATGTGTAATACAGTCGAACCAGACATGAACGATTTTAACTGATCCGATCATTTACTTAACGTACCCCCTACATTTTCTACATCAGTTTCCATCTCAAGATTTATCACAAATTGTATTACGAGAACGAAAACAAAGAATTTTTCGAAACATTTACTGTGTTACGTGTTGTAATGCTTATTGTGCAGTTAACAAGATTTATCCACTCTCCCATTTTGAGATATTTCTGGTGACGTTAACTTAATTTCAACTATGTTGAATGACTCCTTTAGCGCAGAGGGTTAGTTACCTAAAAATCTATGTCAATGTGGCAGGAATATTCAGTTATAATATCACAAGAGCATAGAAAATATTCGATTATACTTCCGAGTCACGAGACGTATTCTGCGAAACACCACGACAGCGTAGCTGGAGTGGTGTTTTAAGGATATACGTCGAGTGAGGAGGTTAGTATAATCGAATATTTTCGTTTGCTCGAGTGGTATTCGATACGATTACATAATGAATTAACTAACTCCGAAGCGTTCCATTTTTTTTGACGTTTATTGACAAATGTTAAAACTGTCGTTACCATGACATAGTTCACATTGTTGGAGGAGGCGAAACACCAAAACGGTTATACCACGTCGTCAAGAGTATAATCGCTTATCAATACATAGTAACTACGTAAAATTTGTAATTGCTATTGGCTAAATTTCTAATGAATTATATAATCAATTAAATACAAACAATTACGTAGATTACCAAAGCAATCCGTCCCTTCACGCTCCTACTTTACGAGGTGTTCCAATTGTTGAAGTTTGTAGTAGGTAAAGAGTAAAAACAGTAGTAAAACACTTCAAGAGTAGTTCCCTGGCAATTGGAAAGCAGCTATTGTATTGTACCATGACCATGTTTTGTGGTCATGATCATAGCACAGAGAATTTTTTGTGACCATAAATATAATCTTCTTCTTCTTCATCTCAATTGATGGCCTAATTTAGATAAAATTAATTAATTAAATACAGAAATGGTCTTGAATCATAGAAAATGGAATATTTAACATTTGTATATTATTTTTTCTGTCTTGAATTCATGAATTGACACTGACAGGTGACAGCCGATTTAATTCCGACATTTTGTTTGGTGGTTTGGTGTTGGTGTTTGTTTGGTGTGTCTCGTTTTAAATAATAAATTTTTTCGAGAATTAGATTGGTTTTTCAATATTTAACCCTGTTAAAAAACAGTGTTTTATAAATTTTAAACATTGCGACGTTTCGTCATACAAACTATATATTAGAAAAAACAGTGATTCTACTAATATGGAGCTGTCTACAATTTTACCAGCACCTATACAGCCTGTTTGGGATAGAGACGATGAAAGAAGGAAAAAAGCTGCCTCTATGAAAACTACAGCATTGGTAAGCACTCAAAGTATAGCACCACCTTATGGTCAGCGAAGGGGTTGGGTACCAAGAAACGTAACCGATTATGGAGACGGAGGAGCTTTTCCCGAAATTCACGTGGCACAGTACCCACTTGACATGGGTCGTAAGAAAGATTCTACCTCAAATGCATTAGCCGTCCAACTAGGTCCTGACGGGAAAGTAAAATATGATGTTATTGCCAGGCAAGGCCATTCTAAAGATAAAATCGTATATTCAAAGTTATCCGATTTGCTACCTGTGGAAGTTGTTGCAGAAAATGATCCCAGTTTGGAAAAACCGAACCAGGAAGAACTTGATGACATTACAGACCGTACTAGGCAAGCGTTGATGAGGATTACCAATTCTAAAATAGCAGCAGCGATGCCGGTGAAAGCAGCAGAGAAGCAAGCACCTGCGGAGTTTATTCGTTATACACCCTCGCAACAAGGGGCCGCTTTCAACTCGGGAGCAAAACAGAGGGTTATAAGATTAGTCGAGGCTCAGGTAGACCCGATGGAACCTCCCAGATTTAAAATAAATAAGAAAATTCCTCGAGGGCCTCCTTCTCCTCCGGCACCAGTACTGCATAGTCCCACCAGAAGGGTAACTGTTAAGGAACAGAAGGAATGGAAAATTCCACCGTGCATTTCTAATTGGAAAAATGCTAAAGGTAAAACAAGGACTTTCAATTTGATCTGTTGTTGTGTTTGTTAATGAATTTAATTAGGTTGCTTTACTATAAAATTTATTTGGCTTGAAGTCGCCCTGTACATTTGTTCCCTGCGTTTTAAAAGCCATTATTTATTTTCAGGTTATACTGTTCCTCTGGACAAGAGGCTGGCCGCTGACGGCCGGGGCTTGCAGCAGCTTCACATCAACGAAAATTTTGCAAAATTGGCAGAAGCATTATATATAGCAGATAGAAAAGCCAGGGAGGCTGTCGAAACTCGAGCACAATTGGAGAAAAAACTGGCACAAAAAGAAAAGGAACAGAAAGAAGAACACCTGCGTCAGCTGGCTCAGAAAGCCCGTGACGAAAGAGCGGGTATTAAAGTAGCAACGGGACATTCCAAACCCGTCGATGACGAGGAGCAGGAAAGAGATGCTCTCCGGCAGGACAGGCATAAAGAGAGGGCCAGAGACAGGAATCTCGCTAGAGCAGCCCCCGACAAAAGGAGTAAATTGCAGAGAGAACGAGAAAGAGATATTTCCGAACAAATCGCGTTAGGCATGCCCGCAAGAGGCATCTCCTCGAATGAAACGCAGTTCGATCAGCGTCTGTTTGGGCAGGCGCAAGGTTTGGGCCAGGGATATGGGGACGACGAGGCTTACAATGTATACGACAAACCGTGGAGAGAAGGCGGTTCGATGGCCAATCATTTGTACAGGCCTAGTCGGAATATCGACAAAGATATATATGGTGGAGAAGACCTAGAGAAGGTTATCAAGACTAATAGATTTGTTCCTGATAAAGAATTCGGTGGGACGGATCGCTCGGGAGCAGGACGGTCAGGTCCCGTACAGTTTGAGAAGGAGGAGGATCCGTTCGGTCTGGATCAGTTCTTGTCGCAGGCTAAGAAGGCCAGTAAGCGGAAGGAACCCGAGAAAAGGGATGATCGTGACAAAAAGAAACGAAGAGATTAGATTTTGCACGTCGAGAGAAGAGTATAATTCTTATGTAAATATTTATTATACGTTTCATTTTTTATAATGGCACAATAATGGAAATAATTTAGAATGAAATAAAAATATAAATTATAACTAGGGTTTTTATTTCCTACATTTTGAAGTTTCCAATTTTTTATACATTTTATTAATTAAATTTTTTGTAGTAAATAAAAAATAAACTACAAAAGTAATATCATAATTTTTAAAAATACTGGTTTTTGGGATCAATCTGTGGTATAGAAAACTGGTTGTTGATAGCCACTGATAGAATATGGCTAAGTATATCTACCTTTAATATCGTTTCAAATAATAAAGGGTGGAAATATTTTCAGTGCACACTAACTGGAAATAAATTAGAAAAGGGGTTTTACTGTAGATGTTGAAATTTTAAGGCCAATTTTTAATTATTTATGTTAAAAACAAAATTTAGTGGCCATTAGTTGGCTTACGAAACCAATGATATAAAGTCTTTATTGTTACTAATTTTAAATTTTACCATCCAATTAAATTACAAGAGGAGAGCCACCTATTAGCTTTTGTTGATAATAAAAAAATGTATCCAAAACGTGCACTGAAACGCGAATAAATACATGAGGAGTGCTTTGGAACACTCTGTACTCTGACTCTGAACTGAATTGCTCCAACTGGTCATTCGAAAGCAGCATATATTTCATAGGTGTGTTTTGGTTCTGTCGTTGCTCTGTACAGAACGGTTCTAGGACGGTTCAAATTAGTTGACCATTCCATTCATAAGAACATCTAATTCAAGACATATGAACAATACAGTTGGGTAACTATTCTGAATAGCTGTATTTGTTTTACCACTTGGTTAGTTCAGTTTGGTCAAATTGACCAAACTAGAAGTGACCGTGATTTAAACTAACTTTAGGTTAAACAAAACACACATCTACTTCATTTTAAATTTTGACTTTTGACTTCTACTCTACTCAGTTTAATTAGTTTGTTGTTGTCAATCATACTCTGCCCAACATACTTACAATCAACATATCTTCTTCAGATGAATTCATATCCATTATCAACGCCTGATCAACGCCTTATTTTTATTATTTAGATTTATGATTATTATTTGTAGGTTATGTTTTGTTCGGTTATCTTGTTCACTACTAACCACGATATTAGATAGGTTAGATCGGAAAGGGTGGAACTGATTTTGGTCATATTTTAGTTTGTTCACTTGTTTAAAAAAAACGAACTTGGTCAGAACTCTACTGAAAGTGAATTAACCAAAGTGACCAACTGTAAAACAAACACAGCTATTATATGTTTTGTGTATATTATATCGATTCTATGGTTAAAAAATGGCGGTTCGGTGTTAGTTTATCGTTTTGTTTAGTATCGTTTACATTTGTTTACTTCATTTATTCTTTGCTGTCAATGTTTGATTTGTCGGCGAGCTTGAAATGATAACTCCTATAAACTCCTTTCAGTAAATTATTATCAAAGTAAACCTGATAACACAAACAAAAAGATGCATAGACGAGGTGGTAAGCGTATTCGGATGGATGAACCTCCTCCAGAGTACGAAAACCCCATGACTCCACAAGTGGAACATGAAAATTATGGAAACAATTATATGCAACAGAGTATGTATGGAGAATCTTATGGCGAGCAAGCGGGTCAATCATCTGACGGTGCATTTGAATCACCACCAACTCCTGGAACAAGACGAGTTACTAGGTCTAAAGCTAGAGGTGTGACAAATCCACCTCCTATAGTGGCTCCTTCTTATTCACCTACAAGTAGTGGCAACACGGGAAGGGGTCGAGGAAGAGGCAGACCGCCTGGGAGGAAAAACAATGTCGGTGAAGTCATACACACGCTTGATGATGAGTCTTCTCTCTATCATATCATCAAGAATAGTAAAGTGTCTTTGACGAATATTGTAGATGACTGGATCGAAAGTTATAAGGTAAAAGTAAAGAAATGAAGTAGACTTATATTACTGTAGGGTACTTCATATTTGTAGATAAACCGAGAAGCTGCTCTTATATCCCTGATGCAATTTTTTATCAACGCTGCTGGTTGCAAAGGGAGAATCACACAACAGATGCAAGCTACAATGGAACACGCAGCTATCATTCGAAAGATGACTGAAGAGTTTGACGAGGAAAGCGGTGAATATCCACTTATAATGGCCGGTCAGACCTGGAAGAAATTTCGGCAGAATTTTTGTGATTTTGTTCAAACTTTGGTTAAGCAGTGCCAGTATACCATTATCTATGATCAGTTTTTGATGGATAACGTTATATCGCTTCTTACTGGCCTCTCCGATTCTCAAGTAAATTCTGTTTAAAGTAGTCTTATTAAGATTTTAATATTTTTGTTCTAGGTCAGAGCTTTCAGACACACTGCCACGTTAGGAGCGATGAAACTGATGACGGCTCTGGTGGATGTAGCACTAACGGTTTCAGTTAATCTTGACAATACTCAGCGGCAGTACGAAGCCGAGAGGCAGAAAACTAGAGAAAAACGAGCTAGTGATCGTTTAGAAGCGCTACTTGGGAAAAGACAAGAATTGGAGGAAAACATGGACGAAATCAAGAACATGCTAACCTACATGTTCAAATCGGTGTTTGTTCATAGATATCGAGACACATTACCAGAAATACGAGCCATCGCTATGACCGAAATCGGGGTGTGGATGCACAAATTTCATGCGAATTTCCTCGATGATTCGTATCTGAAATATATAGGTTGGACTCTTCACGATAAGGTAAGGTAAACCAGCCTTTAACATGTTTGAGTTTTATTTGCGTGTTTTATAGGTGGGAGAAGTAAGGCTGAGGTGTTTACAAGCCTTGCAACCGCTTTATGCTAGTGAAGAGCTAAAAGGCAAATTGGAACTGTTTACCAACAAGTTCAAAGATAGAATTGTGGCGATGACGCTGGATAAGGAGTACGACGTAGCGGTGCAAGCCGTCAGGCTTGTTATATCTATTTTGAAACATCACCACGAGATACTTACCGATAAGGACTGTGAACATGTTTACGAATTGGTAAGAAATTGTATGTTTTTTCTACTCTTAGATTTACGTCTATTTTACACACATTGAACTACTATGGTTTTATATATAAAAACATGAGGTCTGTATAAAAACATTTTACACTGATATGATGAGATCTCTGTTCAAAACTTTACGCTAATTGTGGATTTTGATATATCAATATATTGATATTGAATTGAATTCAATATTTTATACTGATATGGGATTCAACACTCCATTGATATTGGTTCTGTTTACCATTTTACATTGATATTGGCTCTCTATTCAATATTTTACATATATTAGGTTTGTATTCGACAATTTACAGTGACATGGTATCTCTATACAACATTTTATATTGATATTGAATCTATATTCAACATTATACACTGATCTCTGTTTAATACTTTACACTGATAAATATTGGCATTCTGTTCAATAATTTGCACTTGCATTAGGTCGCTATTCAACACTTTACACTGATATAGTGTCAATTCAACATTTTCCACTGATATGGGATATTTATTCAACACTATTCCTAGATATAGGTTCTCTATTCAATTAATTACACTGATTTCATGTCTCTATGCCACTCTTTACACCGAAATTAGCTCTCTGATTACACTGATTTTGGGTTGAAAGACATCTGCACACTGCATATTACATCCTATTGATTGCATAATTAATATTAAATTTGTTGTTTTTATATTCTATTTATACTAATATGGGATCTCTATTCAACATTTTACCTAGATATTGGCTGTCTATTCAATAATTTACACTGATTTTGGATTGAAAGACATCTGCACACTCCATATTACATCCTATTGATTGCATCATTAATATTAATTTAGTTGTTTTTATATTCTTCAATTTACACTGATATGGCATCTCTATTCAACATTTTACCTAGATATTGACTATTCAATAAATTATACTGATCTTATGTTCTTATGAAACTCTTTACACCGATATTGGCTCTCTCTTCGATAATTTACACTGATCTTGGGTTGAAAGACATCTGCACACTTCATATTACATCCTATTGATTGCATCATTCTGCCGTCTCTTGCTTAATATTAAATTGGTTTTTATATTCAACAATTTACACTGATACGGGATCTCTATTCAACATTTTATCTAGATATTAGCCGTCTAGTCAATAAATTACACTATTATTATGTCACTACGAAATTGTTTACACCGATATTGGCTCCCTATTCAATAATTTGCACTGATCTTGGGTTGAAAGATATCTGCACACTCCAAATTACGTCACCTCTTGCTTAATTTTAAATTTGTTGTTTTTATATTCAACAATTTACACTGATATGGGATCTCTATTCAACATTTTACTTAGATATTGGCTCTCTATTCAATAATTTACACTTATCTTGGATCGAAAGACATTGAACATTACATATTAAATCCTATGCATCATTACGTTATCTCCTGCTTAATGTTTTTGTTCTTCTCATGTATCGAAATCTCTTGCAGTGATTTTCAGTAACATTTCGGGATTGTGAATGTTGAATACAAACAATTGCCAAAAATGTTGTGTTTATAATTTACTGCACATGAGATAAGGTTACAGAAGTAGTCAATATTGAAAGAGAGGACCTAAAATTGAATATGAAGTTGAAAACGACTAGCGTCAACACAGTTCATTCAATATTCTAGGTTTATTCGTCGCACAGGGCCGTCGCCCAGGCCGCGGGCGAGTTCCTTAACGAGAGGTTGTTCCAGCCCGGCGATATGGACGCGGGTAAAACTAAGAGGGGCAAGCGACGTTTGCCCAACACGCCCTTCATTCGGGACCTGGTGCAGTTCTTCATCGAATCGGAGCTGCACGAGCACGCCGCCTACTTGGTGGACTCCCTCATAGAGTCCAACAACATGATGAAGGATTGGGAGTGCATGACAGATCTGCTGCTGGAGGAACCGGGGCCTCACGAAGAGCCTTTGGACAACAGGCAGGAAACGAGTTTGATCGAGATCATGGTGTGCTGCGTGAAACAGGCAGCCACCGGAGAGGCGCCCGTCGGTAGAGGACCCACCAGAAAGGTGTCGTCTCTCAGGGAGATGAAGCAGGTGAGAAAATATCTTGCTTAAATTCAGTTTTTCAGTAGCATACAATGGTTTTTCATAAATTGGTAATAGTGACTATTTTTAAACTTTTTTCTTTGGTGCATTGGAATATTCTTGAGGCACACTAAGTCCAAGAATGGAAACGAGTCGAAAATGCTGTAAATTTTGCATATTATAAAATTAAATTCTTATTTTATTAAATACGAACTAATTTTCGTAGGCCGGCGAAGACAAACAGAAGCTAACCGAACACTTCATAGTCACCCTGCCTCCCCTCTTAGATAAATATTCAGCCGATCCCGAGAAACTGGCCAACCTCCTCAGCATACCGCAGTACTTCGATTTAGACCTTTACACCAGCGGTAGGCAGGACGGATCGTTGCAGGCCCTGCTGGTTAAATTGAAGTATATCGTACAGGTCCATCACGAGCCTGAGGTAACGTTTGATGTAATTCATGAAATTTGTTGTACGCGAATCTAAATTATTCCTTAGGTATTGGAAACTTTGGCGAAGACCCTGGAGATCCTCTGTACGGAAGGCCATTCGATCTATACGAGGTGCGACGTGGCCAGGTCGACGATAGTCGACATGATCGTGGCCAGCTACAAGGAGGCTATCGACGACTGGCGTAATCTTCTGCTGGGGGAGGAGACGCCCAATGCCGACGAGATATTCAACGTTGTCAGTTCGTTGAAGAAGGTGTCTATGTTCTACGCCTGCCACAATTTGAACCAGTGGAACCTGTGGGACACCCTGTTTCAGGATTTTAGAGTAAGTTGAGTTGTATCTCGTATTCCTAAAGCATCCAAAAGTATTTGAGGGTTTGGTTTATGGTTTTTTTAATTTTTATTATTTTTCGTCAACGAGTCAAATTCCATTGTGAATGCCTTTTTTTTCTCGTAATTTTCATATCCCACTTCTGGAGGCGTTAGTACAACCTCAAACAACTGTGGTTGATCCTGATTCGAAGATTCTTTTTTTTAGGATATCGAGAGCGGACTGCCGCCAGAAGCCCTGAAATACTGCATCAGCTCCTGCTACTATCACCTGCTGTGGGGCCTTAGGGACCTGGAGGTGCAGGCCGAGGGGGGCAGTCTCACACATTCCAGCTTCCAGAATCTCAGGGACAAGCTGGACGACTTCTTGGAGGCTTCTCAGATCCTGATCCGCTCTTCTCCGCACGTCGTCATAAAGGAGGAGGCTTACGTGGGACTGTGCGACCTACTGATAGTGTTCAGCGAGCAGCTGCAGAACCAGTCGTCTATGGGGGAGTTGGTCTGCAGGCCGGACAGAAACCTGCAGGTGAGATTTATTATAAGTTTTTATAAAAGTTTCGATTGTACAGAGTGTTCTAATATTTGCTGTACATGGAACTATGGTACATTTTGGACTGACTGACTGACCGGCACAAAAAAATGCTCCAAATGACAAAATATATTTTGAAGTTTCTACTGACAATTATTGTCATCTTTGTCTAAACATTGGCAGGGTTCATAACGGCCGGGAAAACTGGGAATACCGGGAAGGGTCAGGGAATTTGTTATTCTTCATAAAAAAAACAGGGAATAGTCGGGGAATTTTAAAAATATTCTTGAAAGTCGGGGAATTTGATGTTTGCAACTGGAAATTTTGTGAAAGCCGGCCCTGGGTTCTTGAAAGAGAAAACTATTTGTGGTTTTGAAACCTTTATAAGAGGTTGTTAGGGTATAAAAAAATTTATGGAGTCCAGTCAAGAAAAAATTGAATGCATAAATACCGATTGGTATGTAAAAATGAACTACAAGTGACCTGGATTTTTTTTTATAAGTCAGGGAAAACCTGGAAAAGTCAGGGAATTCTTTATTACTTTTGAACTATGGACCCTGATTGGGTATACTTTGGGTATATTCCCTGGAGAAAATTGTCGATTTTAGCGAGGTTTTTCTAAATGAAAGTTTACCTTAGAAAGCTAGAAATAATCTCAGTAAAAGTATGCTGATTAGATAAAAGAAGGACACCGCTTCACGACTTGCAAAAAAAGCGTTTCGTCTGGCAAATTGCCACTTTTTAAGACCGAGTGTGAGAGCGGGAATTACCTATAACTTTTAATGTATTAAAATGTTTAATAATCCTTTTAAATGTTGCTTTTGAATTCTACTATGAACATTCTGTGTACCAGGTGAGTGTTAGTAACAAAATAATGTTAGTATGGTACTAAAAGTATGAGTAGTTCAAACGTTCCAGTTTTAATTGAAGATTGTTTTAATTCCAATTTCTATATTCTATATTAGAAATGACTTTTTTAACTTCACATTATTCGTGTATGACTATAATTTTGTAAATTTGGGGTTAATCACATACTTCTATAGATAGATAGAATGTGGGAAGTATGTGGGGTTAATACACATTTTATTTACTGTAGAAAATATTTACGGAAAATGTTTATTATTTCGTAGATTTTTACAGTAGCTATGAACTTAAAGTATTGTTTAGCAATACCCAACAGAAACTCGATAACGATCACCACTAAAAAAAAAAAAATACAAAGCAGTAAGAATTACATAAAGTCGCGTTTGCATCAGTACTAGCATAACGCGTCTCATTTAAAGCGGACAAAACGTTTATGAGTTATGTTTTTGGTCTCAAATTACTCGTCGTAAAAATTAAGATGAGCATAGCTTTTAGTTTTTTGAAAATTTTTAAAAATTACCCCTATTTAGGGGTTGAAAAGGCCCCCAAAATGAAGAATTGAATATTACCAATAAATATAAAAACTATTAGCATATGAATTTTTCTATCGAATGATTCTTGATACAAAGAAAGATTTATTCTCATGACTGAAATATGCATGTTGAATTAGAAAATCCACCCTTAAGCGAGCTCAGGGGGTGGAATCGTCCCCAAAAATAGAGAATATCAGAAATAATTGTAAAAATTCAAAAAATATATATATTAAGATAATTCACATGCCAATAGTTTTTATATCAATTGGTAATATTCAAATTCTTCATTTTTGGCATTTTTTCAACCTCTAGTTAGGGGTGATTTTTAAAATTTTCAATACACTAAAAGCTATGCTCACTTCAGTTTTTTACGACAAGTAATTTGCGACCAAAAACATATTTTTATGTATTTTTTTCAATTCTCTGCGAATTGTGAAAAAACAGGCGAAAATCACAGGATTTTTGTGGTCACTCTTTGATGCCTTCTAGAAGCTAAACAAAGCAACTTAGCACAGGTTTAAGTTTAAGTACATGAAATGAAGCACCCTGCGCTAAATGTTTTAAAAATATTTACTTATTTTCTCTCCCGGCGCAGATGCTACTAAACGAGTTCGTGCAGATGTACGTGTTCGTACCTCAGCAGGACTCCGAACACGACGAACACCGCATCGAGGAGTTACACAGGAGACGCAACTTCCTAGCAGCTTACTGCAAGCTGATCGTTTATAACATAATGCCTACGAAGGCGGCGGCCGACGTCTTCAAGCACTACGTCAAGTACTACAATGACTACGGGGACATTATCAAGGCGACCCTCAGTAAGGCGAGGGAGATTAACAAGGTCAACTGCGCCCTCACCATGTGTCTCAGTCTCAATATGATGTTCAACGAGGTGCAGAGGCTGTCGGGGGGCAGGAACGCCAGGCAGCACGAGGAATTCTTTGCACTGAAGGTAGGATTTTAAAGAAGTATAATGAAGTGTAATTTTGTTAAATTTTTAATATAAAAAGTGTACCTCACAGATAAATAAAAAAAAAAGTTGCAAAAAAAAACGGTTGAAGAAAAGTTATAAATAATATTTTATTTCATTTATGGATAACGTGTTTATTTAATTAAATTATTTTTAACGTTTTGAAAAATAGCTTGATGTTATGTTCTGAGAAATGTAAATTTTTTTTGCAAAAGTCAATTTTTATGATGTGTCAACGCTTAACGGTTTAAATCACAGCAGCCGTGATTATCATTTAATGTTTAATCACTATCGATTCTCAGGAACTTGCGAAGAGATTCGCCCTCTCCTTTGGCCTAGACGCAGTGAAGAACCGAGAGGCAATAACGGCTCTGCACAGGGCCGGTATCCTCTTCGCCGTGACGGGGGTGGAGAATAGCTCGGACGATCCCACGGGGCCCCCCGCGAACCTCCCCTTCCTGGAAATCCTCTCGGAATTTACGAACAAGCTGCTCAAGCAAGATAAGCGGGTGGTCATGTCGTTCCTTGACAGGAGGATCACTACGGGTGAGCGAGAATACGAATTACAAAAGTATCGACGGGAAATTATTATCTGTTTCTCCGCTCTAGGTATGCCAAGCAGTCGAGGCGAGGACTGGCAGCCCCTGTTATTGTACCGTAATTCCTTGTTGCACGGCGAGACGGATCAGCTGCCTACGACCAGCAAACGGGCTTACGGCAGGAAGAGGCACAAGGATCCCGACTCCGATCATGATCAGAACGACGATTTGTCTGATCAGGAGTTCCCTGGAAATCTGTATGGTTAATTTTTTTATATTTCTTAATTTTAGCGTTTTTTTTTTTTTTATATTTCGGGTATGTCAGAATGCATGAAGCCAGTTTGTATTAATAGATAGGGTTTATACAAGGTGGTTCGATTTTTTATGAAACTGGGTGCAGATAAATTATATGAAAATAATATTTATAAATTTGTTATACATGGTGATCCCAAATAAAGTACCAAAGTTTTAAGGGGTTATTTTATTCACAGATATAGCAGTAGTTCCTACGACACTTTTTTTTAATTAAAAAATAAAAATTAATGTAGTTACAAGTTAAATAACTTTAAACTAATTTTTTACTGATATTTTGCCATAACAATCTGTGGAAATCATCAAAACTTTATAAAGTCGATGTTGGTCAAAATTGTTTGGTTTGTTGAAATCAGGAACTGTTTTGCAGAAAAAGACTAAATTTTCCCTCAAATGCTGGTGAATTATTATTTTTAAATTTCACAATTTAGCAAATTTCGTTGCAATTGTATGGAACATAATTTTCTATGTCCAAATCCCGCTTTTTTGTACTGCAAAATAGTTTGTCGTTTTCAAAGATGCTCCGAAATTTTAAATTATTTTTTTTTTCCTAGGATACCGTTAACGTTATAAACTTGGAAAAAGAAGACCTTTTCACAAAATATTTATAACTATAATTTTTAATATTAATCTAATATAACTTTTTGAATAAAAATATAATAATAAAATTCTAACCAATTTTGTGATCAATAAGGTGCTTTTAATGCATTAGAATCTTTTTTTTTTCAACAATCAGACGCAATTCGATTCGATTCGAAGCAATGAATTCTGAACCTTATACAGTGAGCGGCAAAAGTATGGAATATATTTATTTAAAAATCAGATGTTCGTTATCTGAAAAATCGCTCGGACCCGTCGAATTATATTTTTAGTTGCGCATTTTCTGTAGCAATTTTCATTTATACAAGGTGGCCCAAGTTATGAAATCAAGGCCAACTTTTTTAAATGGAAACCCCACTTTTTTGTATTTTTATTCAATTCTTCATGGAATACTGATCATTTTTTATGTAATATAACCTATACCCTATCTTTAACCATTTTCGAGATAATGGCGTCTGAATATAGAATATGGAAAATTTTCAAAAATTACCCTGAGATTTTCCCTGCTGGTTTTAAAATAAAACCATTTTACTTTTCCATCTTAGATTTGTGTGGTTCACAGAAAGTTGCTTCAAATCAAAAAAATCCATGAAAAATAAGTGGTTCGACGATTTATTTTGATCATTAGGACGCAATGACTTGAATGTAAATAATATAAGTGAGGTATTTAGGTATAATTTAATTAAAATCGCATAATTTTATTGTATAAAATATGATTTTGTTAAATGTCGCTATTTAAATTACGAGCCAGAAGAACGCGCATTGTAGCCGTCGTCAAGCAACTAAATATTAAATAGGTAACGTCAAAGTCAGTTGAATCTATTATTATTTAGGACAGTGCAATTACTTAACTAGATGGCGCATCTAACGGAAATGCAGCGGATAGAAATTTTTATTTATTTGGGACACGGTGGCGAAGCCAGAACACAACAAGAAGTGTGTGATATATTCAATAACAAGTATCCAGATCGTCCAATCAATCAAGCTGTGCTTAAATATTTGAAAAACACAAAATGGATTTAGTAGAAAGTACACCAGTTCCCACTGACTTTGACGTTACAGTCCTTACGTATTGAGAGTAATTTTTGAAAATTTTCCCATTTCTCGAAAACGGTTAAGATCAGAATTCCATGGAGAATTGAATAAAAATCCAAAAAAAAGTGGTTTCCATTTAAAAAAGTTGGCCTTGATTTCATAACTTTTTTTTGGGCCACCCTGTATCAATGAAAATGGCTTTAGAAAATGCGCAACTAAAAATATAATTCGACGGGTCCGAGCGATATTTCAAATAACAAACATCTGATTTTTAAATAAATATATTCCATACCTTTGCCGCTCTCTGTATAATCTGCGAATGCAGCTAAGAGCTCGCTCTCTGGCGGTGACAAGTGATACTAGCGAAACAAGGTAAACATTTCTTGTGTGTGAGACATTTTGTTTTGTATTTTACTTAAAACTGTGTTTAGTGTTTGTTTTTTGGACACTGTTATTTTATGAAAATAGTGTGAGGAAAACTTCAGCAGTTATGGATAAAAAGGAGAAATTGTTGAACTATTATTGTTCAGTTCATGGTTCTTCATGATCCAAGAAAAATCGAGAATTAACTTCTTATCAAACCATTGAAGAAATTTTCAAAATATTGTCGATAGACAATACTCGCTGAATTTCAAGAGGGCTGTTAGTAAAGGCACCAGTTTGCAGACACAATGAATAAATTTCTAAATTTAAATCACTTTGCCCAGTTTTCCCACATAGTACCACATGACCAGCGTTAAAAACTGCCTCTCCGTCTGATATAAAACGAGAGTTTTCATTGGCATTTAAATAGGAAATGTAGGTATTCCGCAACGGATAACTTCATAGTTATAACCTCAAAAAATGTACATTAAATTGTAATGCTAGAAACAAACAAGGTACAGACATACATACTTGCATTAAAATTTATTTATGAAATATTTGAAACCTATAAAATAACACAAAAGTCAAATAACCGCAGTTTAATAACAAAATTACTAATAATAATGGGAAATAAAACGAATGTTCAAATGAATGTGTAAACACGAACGCGAAGGTCAAAATTACCTTGTCTCGGAGTTTACCGCTTTCGCCGCTTGATGCGCTTGCATCTTAAAAATTATCGCGGAATATGTAAGCATTATATCAGTATTAAGTTTACAAAAAAATGTCTAAGGAACTTGTAACATTATTTTTATGAGTATAATCGCCCCCTCAATTTTTTGCATTTATTTGGAGTCATCTGTATATACAGCAGAATCTTCATTGTCTTATCTATCTCAATTTTTTAAAAATTTTTATTCTGAAAAGAAAATTATCTACAGGGACTTCATAAATGATTATGAGCCACTTGACTGTCGAACTTGGGCAACCAACAACTGAAAATCCCTAAATCTTGGTGTCGTCAATATTAATGATTCGATTACAATGAACGATGACAAACTTACATCTATGCTCAAGATAATGCTGATAACACAGCCCCACAAAAAAAAAGGTCCGAAAGACAAGACCATGGTATCCTTATGGTTTTGGGGTCGCTGAATCCGAATCCGGGGTCCGTTTGACACGATTAGCTCTAAGGTCAGTTCAAGGTCAAATGTAGAAAATCAATTCTCAACACCCTAAACCTATGTATCTATTTTTCAACCTATGTATTGTTTTTGGGCTCGTCGAATCCAAATCTGAAGTCCGTTTGACCCGATTAGCTCTGGTTTCAGGTCAGTTCAAGGTCAAATGTAGAAAGTCAATTGTCAACAAACTAAACCTATGTATCTATACGATTTTGGGGTCGCCGAATCCGGTGCCCGTTTGACGCGATTAGCTCTGGTTTAAGGTCAGTTCAAGGTCAAATGTAGAAAATCAATTGTCAACAAACTAAACCAACGTATCTACACGTTTTTGGAGTCGCCGAATACGGTGCCCTTGTAGATACATAAGTTTAGTTTGTTGACAATGGATTTTCTACATTTGAACTTGAACTGACCTTAAACCAGAGCCGATCGCGTCAAACGGACACCGGATTCGGATTCAGCGACCCCAAAAACGTGTAGATACATAGGTTTAGTTTGTTGACAATTGATTTTCTATATTTGACCTTGAACTGACCTTAAACCAGAGCTAATCGTGTCAAATGGACACCGGATTCGGATTCAGCGACTCCAAGACCATATGGATACCATGGTCTTGTCTTTCGGACCTGCTACTTTTTTGTGTGTGTGTGTGTGTGTGTGTGTGTGTAATTTTAGAACTTTATTGTCAATGTGAAATAATTCAAACAAAATTACTAGCCACATCGCTTGTAATCATTTATGAAGGCTCCGAACATGCTTACTGCATAGTTGATCTAGGTTAAAACTGTTTATTAAATATGTAATACTTGATAAAATATGAATGGTATGGACTCGTACATACGTAATATGTAATTATATAGCAGCAATCTGAGTCTGTCTCTTATCGGATTTCTTTTTCTGGCTGTAGTATATCCTTGATTTGAGAAGTGATGCAGATCCTCTACAGTTGCCTCTATTCGGTGCTCGATGTACAGCAAAGCCTTTCCTAAGGCGTCAAAATCTAAGGTTTGGACATCATGAAAATTTAAGTTGTCATATTTTAGTAATGAAGCTTGAGATCCATACTATTTCATTTCACCTTTCACTATGATAAAATTTAAAAATAAATTTTTGAAATTGTAGCAGATATATTAGGGGGGGTCACTCCAATATTTTTCTTAAAATTACTTTATTTTTACAAAACTTACAGAACAACTGCGTTTCTTGTAACACATAGCTTTCTTCTTCACCTAGTAACTACTTAAAGAGCGAAAATTCAAATCTTAAAACAGGTTACTACGAAATAAAATTTTTTATATCGCAAATTTCACGCCACGAAAGTTCTCTAATGAGTCAACAGTTCATTCCATAAAAGAATGGTATGGGTCTCATGCTTCACTGTCAAAATATGGCCGCTTTAATTTTCATGAGTTGTGACTGTTCTGCTCTATTATATTCGAAAAATGTTTACTTTTTATACAGGATGTTAAAGTTTTCCGAAAGAGAATACCTTTTCTCTAATATTTTTCAAACATACTCAATTACTGTTATTTAACAGAATGTTTTTGAGGATAAAGACACATTTTTTAAGCTATTTTCACAGGGTTGGTGGATGTTTTTGTAAAAATAAAAATGTCAATCAAAATACTGAAATAATAATTTTTGCGAAATCTATTGATTTTGCAATAAAAAAAATGCTCTTTGGTTATTTACTACTTATTACAACAAATAAATCACTAAAAAAAAATTAAAGGCATGTGGCACTCAATATGTTTCTCTGTAGCTCCGGTAATCATAACAGTATGAAAAAATGTCCCAAATAAAAACCGCGTCAAATAAATTTATGCACTTTAGAACCATTCTCTATTATACAGGGTGTCCCATTTATTATGTGGCTTACTTTATTTCAAATGGGACACCTTCTAGCATTTTTTATTTCTATCACTGAAAAATTTTTTCGATAGACACGTACATTCAATCTTGGTGTTTTGGTTTTATTTAATAGCGGCATATTTATATGGTTTCTATTGAATGTAAGTAACGGTGAAACATTTTGAATTAATAAACGCATCCGCTACAGTCGCTTTCTGTGACTAATAAAATATGAAAATCCATTTCAAAAATGAGTTATTACTGTAAAAAAACGCTCTGTTAAGTTCCAGAAATGAGACTATGTGTGCTTGAAACAAATGAAAGAAAAAGTAAATATTTTTGTTTTTGAATACTTAGATACAGGGTGTTGAGATTTAACAAGAAACACCCCTGTCAAATTTGAGTGTGTTATACAATTTCGACGATTATTTTATTGTATATACAGGATGTCTTAATGTTAATGTACAACCTCGAACTAGAAAAAAAAATTGCTGCAGAATAGGATAGCGGTATATATCTATCTTTAATAGTTTAATAGTTTATTGGATAACGCAAAAATAAAAAAACTTTTTTTTTATTTTTGCGAGTGCTGTAATTCAAACGAGTGAGAAATTAGCATTTTTACACAAATTGTACACTACATTTTTCCTGTCACACTTTTTCATGCTTCTGAAATTCATAGTTACCTAAATTTTCATGTTGGTAGCAGTTTTTGTTAATTACAACAGATTAATAATTTCAATAAATTTATTTATTATTTTATGACAAATAATTACAAAAAAAGGAAACTGCCAACGCTTTCCATTTAAAATTATAATTTACAATAAAGTTTGGACCGGTTTGAATTCTTATTCCTGGAGTGTTGGTTTTTATGCCATTTTTCGTAAACGCTGCTGCTGCTGATGTTAACAGCATGTCAGTTGTAAATGTACTATAGTTGTCATCTTAGTATTATTTAGAGACGTTGCATAATATTTGAATTATGGGAATTGTAACTTAACGTTTTGTGCATTCTGTGAATAGTCTGCAGCACACTTGTGTCACTTTGCGGCACATTTGTGTCACTTTTTCTTCATGTTTTAAATTTTGTGAGAAACTATCTACTTTGTGTAGTTTGCAAAAACAAGTCCCTAATGTATTTTTTTAATAGTTCGCCTCTATTTTAATTTTAGAACCAGAGAAAATGTTTCAATTTCAAATAAGCAAATAAGACTGATACAAAAACGGCCCTACGAAAAGTAAAACACAGTGGATATAAAATCGTACAACACACTAAAATTTGACAGAGCTGTTCCTGGTTAGATCTGAACACCCTGTATGTATAATAAATTATTGTTATTACTTGATAATCCGCCTGTTCGTAAAGTGTGCTAAAAAAAATCGAACCACCCAGTATTTTTGTTGGTCATATGTAATTAGTAATAACTTTTTAATTGTAAATATTTTTTTCTTATTTATTGCTAGATACTTATACAGACAAGAATTTGTTGTATTAAAACTTTTTTTATCGTAAACAATAAATATTTGTAATGTTACTCATTGCATTCTTCTTTCCTCTTATTGACCAATTTTACAACTACAGTATTACAGACAACGGTTTAATGAATTCTTAATGGGTATATCTCGCTCGTCGTCTCTCCATCCTTTATTGATCAAAATACCCATACATGTTTTATGAAGGGTGATTGAAATAGATTGATAATAACAGAGTTTTAAGTTGCTGTAATTGGAAGATGACCCCAAACAGCCGGTAGTTTATTTACTTTGATTATGACGGTACATGTGAGTGCAAACGATGTGTTCGTACAGTTGGCTGAAAGCCAGGCACTATCCGACAAGGGTAAATCGACTTGTTATTTAGCACTGTGTTTTGAAAAATGATTAAGACGTTCTATTTGAAATATTTCGGGACTCTAAAGAGGGTAAGGCACACGAAAAACATTGTTATTCCTGTACAGTATAACCAGATATATCACTGAGAAACTTGTTTAAAAGGACGGAAAAAAAATTGGCTATGGGTTTAGATGAAGTTTCATACTCTATAGATATTCCATAATTTTTTTATGAAAATATAAATGCGGTTCTAAATAAATAATATTAGAACAAGTATGATTCGTTTTTGACAAAATACTGTTTTGGCAAAAAGTGGTTTACTAAATTTTAACCAAAATCTAATTTTTTGATGATCTTTCAATTCCCGAATTTATGGTACTTTTTCCAAAACACCCTGTAATAAAAAATATCACCCACCTTGAAGGGAGGGAGTATCTCCATCTTTTTCTGGATCGGTCTCTCTCGGATACCAAATCAATTATTTTACAATACATTGTTATTTATACCGAATAAACGAGGGTAAACCTAGGGTATTTTGTGGCTACATTGAGACACTAGTTATATTTCAGACTTGTGTCGTGTCCACACTCCCAACAGTTGGTGGTACTTTCATTTGACATTTGCAGTTTGTTTTGACAATTAATATTATTTTGATTAGATGATCCTTGCACTAATTTCCCAGTTATAAATACTCCTAAAATTAGTATATAATGCTAATTCGTACATAATTAGCCAAAAGCTTTTTAAGTGTACAAGATAACATAACCTCAAATAAACCCCTTTTCGCAACTAACAGGAGACAATAATGGCCGATGCCCTGGTCTTGGACTGGTTGGATGAATTTGAATCACTTACTGAGAGTGAAATCCACACCTATTCTACGGAGCAGGAACATAACCATGAGGTGATGATAGCACTGTATAATGTTCTAGCAGAACCTCAAAAATACAAGTCTGACAATGTAAGTAAGAAATTTCTACATGCCAAGTCTTTCCAAGTTAACAATAAAATGTAATTTAAATGTTTCATGTTTTAGTTAATCGATGGAATATGCCAACAACTTTTAAACTTTTATCGATCAGGCGAAGAAAGTTTAAGGAGATTTGCTATGCAGTTTATACCTACTCTTGTATTTTTACACTTGTCTGATAAATCTTATTCTGCTGTACAAACTTTACTAGTTAGTTTATACAATTTGGAGGTAAGTCGCTTTTCTTAATGTGTCAACAGACTCTGACAACTCTTCTTCCAGGTGATCGATTCGAAAGGTCAGCCTCGTACACTATCTTTCAGAGTACCCAGTCTAGCACAGTCGTCAATTTTCCACGATTCGACCAACCTAGAACCTGCATTTATAGCGGAGAACTCCCTGAGAAGGTGGGAAGAATGCAACACCAAGCTGGTGAGTTGGGGCCCCTTACCCCAAGTAGAATGTTTGAACGCTCAAAACAGGCAGCGCGTCGTCACGGCACTTGTCTTTCTTTACAACCAACAGTTGTCTAATGTCATTACCCAGGGCATCGAACAAACTTGTAAAGGAGTTTGCAGGTAAGTTTTTTATAGGCCATTGTTGAATATGTTCATCGTACGAATATTTTTGTAGATTAGTGACGCAGGGGTTCAACAGTGGTTCGGAAAGTGCTAGAAGTTCAATAACGAGCGACAGTAGTTTTCACCAGAGTAATTTACCGAGGATACCCGTATCGAGTCCATTACTAATAGAGTTGCTCCATATAGTTTACCACGCTGCTGAAAGATGTGCTAGTGCGGCCATACAAGCATTGCATGATGTCATTCAGAGAGCAAAGTATGAATCATATGCAGGTATTTACAGAAATGAGTGAATATTATTCTCTTAAATAACACCTGTGCTAGCATGAACGTGGGTAAAGGGTACCACAAAGTCACGCAAACCATCCAACCAATTTTGAAGTGAAATACACCAATCAGTGTATTTTTCTTGGACTGTAGATGTATTAAATTTACTCACATATATTATTTACTCCAATTTTGTCCGATACCGTACATTACTCTTTTTGCAGAAGTTATTCTAGCCGCCAGTGCTATAAAGAACCTACTCCAACACTCGCCCACCGTCTCGGCCACCCCGAGACCGTCGCACAGCCACAGCGTGTCCAAATCAATGATAACCAACGCCTCCTTCAGAACCAAGAAGCTACCCGGTAAGTCTCACGAAAACAATTATAAAACGCCTAAAACGCCGCGTAGCCGCAAGAAAAAAAACGAAGATACTTGACGCGAGAAGTCGCGCTAATGAAATTTAACTGATGTGTGATGTATGCCTGCAGATGACATTCCGATCCAAGATGTCAATCAGCAGCCTCAGCAGGCAGACGTACCGTTGGACTCGATCAGCGAGGAGCAGGAGGACCCGGACAAGGGCAAGTCCCGGGGTCCGGGCGGCGCCCGGAAACACCTGCCCAAACTTCCAGGTCTCAGCAAAAAGCATAAGGTTAAAAACAACCCGCAAGGGGAACAACAGCAGATTGAGTTGGCGGGCAGTGGAGATCAAAGCGGGGAGGTCATACTTAACGACGCTAATCATGCGGTGCATGTCAGTGCGGTATAGGTTGGGATCGGTGTAGGGTCGGTACGACTGGTATAGGGTGATAACTTATTTTTAGTCACGGCAAGGGGTAATGCTTTAGATACAGGATGTTAATGAAGTACGTTGATAAATTTTAAAGAGCAATTCGTAAGTGATTTTAAGTCGGAAAAAACATTGATACGGGTTGGCAAATCATTAGTTTTCGATTTATAAGAAGTTGGATTTAAAACAAAACCTTTTCAAAGATATCTCTGAAGATGTTTGATGTGGAGTAATGAAACTGAGGCTAATGATTTATCTAATTGAAGATAAAAATTCACTGAACTGGGATAGCAGAGTTACGGGAGACAGTTTTACTAAAACTAAAAATTCATCGCCGTTGGGTATTTTGTAATTTCTTGTATTTCCAAAAAAAAAAGGTATATTTCATTTCATTGTAGAAACAATTTATTTTTTCTTTATTTTCAATAAACATTTCTTATTTCAGGAAAAAGTTCATATAATTTTAATTTTAATGTATGATTTTAAACACATCGTAATTGTGAAATATCTGTGAAAATAATCGAGGCAATTTTTTTCCGGGCCATAACTACCGTTATCTCTAATAAAATGTAAATTTTTACAGCATTCTATAAATTTCTTTGAGAAATGGGTTGTTATTTTACATTTTGTGAAATATTTAGTAAATTAATGGTAGTTAGAAAAGTAATATAACACTATTGGACAAAAGTAAAGCAACAAACTGCCAATTTTGCAATTTTGATTTTTTTATCAATTTAAAATCCGGTTCTAACAAGAAATAAACTTTTGTCTGAATGGTTCGTAAATCTTAAATGTAATTGTCACTCATAATAAACAGAAAAAATTATACATCAGTGACATTAGGTACTGGGTTATAAAGTAATAGGACAAAAGTAAAGCAACAACAAAAAAATCTGACAAATCTGTTAACAATAACTAAATAATCCCAACTTAAGACTTACTTATTAATAGTTGATTGCATAACCATTATTTGCGATAACTTTTGCACACTTTCTAGGCATTGACAAGATCAACTTTTGGATAACGTTTTCCGGTATACTTTGCCAAATTTCAATTATTTTATTCCGTAAAGCTTCTTTGTTTCTGAATGTTTCTGTCTTTATTCTCCTTTCCACTTCTTTCCATAAGTTCTCAATGGGATTTAAGTCAGGTGATTGTAATGGCCAATCCAAAACTCGTACATTATTGCCATGAAACCAATCTTTCACAAGCTGCGAGGTATGCTTAGGATCATTGTCCTGCTGAAATATGAATCTCGGAGGCATTTCCCACTCTGCATATGACATCCTAACGTTCTGAAGGACATTTCTATACACAAAATGATCCATAATTCCATCAATGAAATGGACAGGACCTATTCCGTTTAAGGAAAAACATCCCCCATAAATGTACAATTCCAGCAGAAATCTCTGATTTACGAGTCAAAATATTGTAACCTGTTTCATCGCTAAATAATACTTTTTTCCAGTCATTTTCAGTCCATCTCAAATGAGCTCTGGCAAACTCTAGCCTGGCAGCTCTATTCCTTACAGAAATTAAAGGTTTTCTGGTCAGCCTTCTACTAAAATGTTTCCGTTCTACAAACTGTATGCTCACAGATGTTTAAATTTCCAATATCCACTATAATTCTGGGACCTGACTTCCATGGATCCATGACACAAATGTGTTTAATCGATCTGTTGTTATTTACTGATGTTTTTCTAGGTCTGCCCGACTTCGGCATATTATTTAATGTCCTCTTTCTTGAAACTTTTACAATATCCTCGAAACTGTGTGTCTGACCACTTCAAAGCGACGTGCAATATCTGCCTGACTCCCCGTTATTAAACACATTTAATACTCTTTGCTTTAAATCAGTACTGAAGCAGTAGTTTAGGCATTTTTTTATCGGCTTAAAATTAGCACACTTCAGACAAAAACCGTATAACAACAAAATTGAACTGTCAAACCCAAAACCAAATAATTGAATGACAGCAGCCTACTACGTAGCGCTTGAAATTACATTATTTTATTCATTTTTTGTTTTCAACTTTCAACAAAGTAAAATGCATTTTTTACATAAATGTTGCTTTACTTTTGTCCAATAGTGTATATCGGAAATAGTTCATTTTCCGATTAAAATCAGATTTATTGTTTTTTTTTTTTGAAAAAGTATGGTGCTACAAACAGTAACTGCATTTTTAAAATATTCAATAATATTGAAATTATGTTATTTACAGTGTCATATGATATTTCCGCAAGTAGTAAACTAATTTATATCCGAATTTAACAGATTTTTATCTTAAATTATATAAATAATTAATTGAAGCATTATCGTTCTGTATAAAATTTCAACACCGTATATTTCGAAAACTATCGATTTGGGGGCCCATTGTTTATAACTTTTTTGGCTTAGAATTTTTCGATGTAGCCTGTTCTTCACATCATAATTAAGGTGCAGCCAAAATGGGACACAATTTCCAAGTGAAATTTCTCGCAAACGGCTAATCAGATTTAAAAATTTGTTTTCAATTACAGATTTATTTAAAAGTATATTGAAATTTTAGCTGGTAATTTTAGCTGGAACAACATACAAGGTGTTTCAAATTTTGGGACAATGCTAGAAATTAAATTTCAAATAAAATTTCTTCCTTAGCATCGTTACTGGAAAATAAACTTTAAAAAAAGTCTAACGTGCTTGTTAACTTTGAAATTCCGGCCCATTTTTAGTGGTGTTCACTTCAACTGTTTTTCTGTGTAAGTGCAGACCATGTTGTCGTACAACGAAAAGCAAAGGCGGTAACTGCTGGCATCATAAAAGATCAAATCGGCAAATAATGTCAAATACAAGCCATGGCTCGCCCTACTCCCAGTTGTGCCGGAACGTAGCGCAGAACTCTTAAATATAATTTATTTTTTCTAAAATGGTATACAATGAAAATTTATTTAGTTCCAAATGCGTTTGTATATACTAGGACATTAAAAACCTAATACATAAGTCTAAATCTTCCGAGAGCCGTCCGATCAACACACTCTGTAGTTCCAATCTGTTTTTTTTCCGAGGCTCGTTTGATGTACATACAATTGGTTGTCCGATATACATTTACATTTGTACTGAGCCGTGTTGATTGGATAGCTGCTATAAATAAGAGAAAGCAATATATGCGTTGTTATATGGAAAATGGTTTGTATATTATTTTATTGTGATATATTTACTGTGTTAATCAGATTTTTCGTAATCATGTTTTTATTTTTTCTACGTGTTAAAAAGTTTATATATTTACGCCAAAATATAATTTTATCTTTGTCAAAATGTTCATCGCCGTTCAGGGCTGATTGGTCAAAGTTTGAATTTGATTTCAGGGAAAATGTGGCAAAAAAATTACATGTACGAGTGCCCGGAAGCATTTTGTTCTCAGGATAGAGGGTGTCGTTTGAAAAAAATTCATATTTTTTAAAATATGTCTGCAGACGTTTGAACTAATAAAGTGATGAAACTTGAACTAACAATTTATCTAAATAGATGAGAGAATCCGCAGAATTTGTATATAAATATGTCCACCAGTGGTGGTATCAGAAAAATATAAATTTGTTTCAAATTTCAACACCCTGTATATCAAAAACATGGAAATTCCTTCAAAGGGCTGTTTTTTCTAATTTTGACCACCCGGACTGAAATTTTAAGTTTATCCAATTAATTCTAAAGTACCATGTATATCTTTTTGTTTTTATTTGTGGAAATATGGAGTATATTTTTATATTTTACTGATTTGCTTATTTTTAAATATGTTTTCACAAGTTGTTGATAGTTGACAGCTGAAGAGGTGTCACTTAGTGAAAATTCACAGTTCTTTGTTTTTAAAACAAGGACATCCAGTGCCAGTATCATGCTTTGATTGTGAGATTTGTGAGGAATATTTTTAAAATGCATTTATTACTAACCTGAAAGGCCGAATTCCTTTCCAAAAATGTTGTCTTTTAATAAAAAAAAAACTAGTTGATTTGCCGAAATGCAAGATTATTTTTTATTTTACCTTAGAAATGCTGGTTTTGAATTTAGTGAATAGTGAATAGTCTTTATTATACGGGAAAAGATTTCGACCGAAATATACAGGGTGTGCGGAAGCAAATGGGCCATGTTTCAAGGTTATGAAACCAAACCAAACTAGATCGTATTATTTTGCTTAAAAACTTAAGTGCTTTTGAAACCAATTTTTTATTTCAGTTTTAAAAAATTACTACACTTTTTAAGATTAAATTATCTCTCGCAATAGTGAACAGTTAAAATAATTTGTCTTATAAATACTTTGCTGAAAGCAAAATTGTAGTAAGGTGATAATCTAAATCAAGGAAGCTACTTTTGAAGTATGGCCCATCCGTGTCCGGAGGCCCTGTATAGAAAAAAATATACCAGTTTATCTGCTTTTTACCATATTTACTGTTATTCAGGTAAAATGTATTTCACAAACTACTACTGTATTTAAAAGCTTTTACGAATCTTTTGTTTTTGCAAGTATTTACAATGAAAAAGAGAAAATAGACTTCAAAATTTAGGAATATTATCGTCAATGTTTTTTTATCCATGTCAGAATTCAGTGTCATTTGTAATACCTCTAAAGCTGCCTGTAATATTTTTTTTCAAGATCCATTGTAAATGGTATTATCTGAGTTTTGTAATCTCGAATTTTTTAAAAATACAAATATGAAAAAAATAAGAACAAGTTGACGCTAAACTTCAAAATGATTGTCTCCTTTGTGGAAAAATTTAGTGCCACCTTGTTTCCGTTTGTGTACAGTATTACGTCTGATTCAAACTAAATGAGATGCATTTCATTTAAACCTAAAACTATTCCAAAGATGTATATCAATATTAACGGTAACCATGGACTTTCGGGTTGTTGTGCCGTGGCCTGTGTACCTGGTCGCCACCTGTTACTGACTTACACTGCACTTCTTCAGCCGCACCTAGGAATTTTTGATCTGCCCTTTTGTTCTCGGGCTAGGCTCTGTTGGGGCAGACTCACTATCAAAACCTCTAGGTTTTCGGTTTTCATTCTGTGCAATTGCGATTGTTGATTTATTTTTATCCTCAGATAAAGATGGTTTAATTCGTCTAGTTTACGGTGGCTTCACTCATAATAGCTACTGCGGTTTTAAAACATTTTTTTCTTCTATATTCTTATATTATTCACATTATCTCGAATATCTGTGATAGATTTCGAGTGTCACATTTATTTTTATCCTCACATTATTTCTATAAGTGAAACGGAATTGGGAAATGAAGAAAAAAGTGTTTTAATCGCAGTTGCAACCTCGTCTAAAATTTTGTGGTACCCAAAATCAGTCGTAAGTGAATAAACATAACATCGAAGGAACGGTTACTACAACACTACATAAACTATCTTCGTTGATTGGACACAGTGGATGCGACTAGTTACAGAGGTCGCTACGGAAAGTCTCGGAGGACCGCCATTGTCTGAGAAACGGTACCGTGTGTAGCGGCCTTAGAACAAACAAGAACTGAAATCAGGGCAGGCCTAGGGGTTCTGAGAGCAGGTCTGCCCTCACAGAACTTAGTCCGAGAACAGCAAGGATAGGTCAAAGATTCCTAGGTGAGGTTAAGAATGTGCAATGTGTGGTGGTGGTCAGATATATAGACCACAACATACAACTCGAAAAATCACGGTACTTTAAATGTTAACACTTTTATATCAATTCTGTCTTGTAAGTGTCAAATATGGTCAGTTTTAACTAATATTTGTATTTCGACTTCTATTTATATGTTTGAAGAAAAAAAAACCGAACATTTCCTATATTTATTGTTGATTTATAACACAATGTATAAAGAAGAGCTCGTTATAATCATCTTTACATTGCGATTTACAGAGAATCCTAAGTGTCGTATTGTTATTAATTATTCTATTGGTGTTAGCCAGGTCATGGACGAGATTTATTGTATCGTTGAATAAAACATCCTTTGAAAGAGTTGAGTCTTACATCCACCTCTCCCTCTTCCAGCTAAAAAAAATTAGACTTCATATTTGAATTTTCACATGGTTTAAGTTGTATTTTACGGTTTCCAGAAATTTTGCAATTAGATTCTTTGGCAAAATATGATTTTGGCGTTTCTCTTGCCAAAGTTAAAACTTAAACAAAAATTTTTAAGAATTCGGTTTGTTACAATTTTTTTAAAAATCGTCAAAAAATTGTCAGTCGACATTTGACGTGAAGTTTTTGACAGCTATTCGAATATGGTCGGGTTTTTTCACCTCCTGGTAAATGTATCTTCACGGCAAATAGTTTTTTTATTTGCCGTGGTATCTTTCAGTTAAATCTATGTCTGCATGTGAGACAGACTTAGATTTAACCGACAGTTGAAGAAACTGGCCCTGTTGTGTCACCACATCTGGCAACTCTGCCATTCCACTGCACATGCATCCGAAATGAATCTCATAGAAATCAAGTATAGAACCATGGAATTTATTACAAGATGAAGGTAAAACATTTTCAAGTGACAACCATAAGTATATATACTATGGAAAATATACGTATAGTATTATATTTTCTACATTCGACATTATAGGCTTTTTTTCGCGAGTGAAGTCGTATGTTGTAGTATGTGTAGTATGAGTGAATATTACGTTTTTTGCGAGAATAGTCAGTCATTTAAACTACTATGTGACGTCACAAGTTTAGATCAAATGACTGAAATCTTCACCCTTCAGCTGAATATTCTGTTGGTATATGCAACTAGTATTGTCAGCTGGTAACTTAACCTTTTTCATTTTGACATTTTGNAAAATCGTCAAAAAATTGTCAGTCGACATTTGACGTGAAGTTTTTGACAGCTATTCGAATATGGTCGGCTTTTTTTCACCTCTTGGTAAATGTATCTTCACGGCAAATAGTTGTTTTATTTGCCGTGGTATCTTTCAGTTAAATCTATGTCTGCATGTGAGACGTGAGACAGACTTAGATTTAACTGACAGTTGAAGAAACTGGCCCTGTTGTGTCCCCACATCTGGCAACTCTGCCATTCCACTGTTCTGTCCATCGAGACTACCAAATATGTTTATTAAATATCCTTGTAAGATTTCAAACTCTCCCAGGTTCTGTCTATGGAGGGTAGAGGTCAAGATTTCTAAGAAACCTTGCGTAGAGGTAGAGCTGGGTAGAGTGGAAGCATGCATACGGCGATAGTGTAGATGTACTAGTGACAAAGAGACAAAGATACAGTTTGGGTACTATTTTTCTCTCTCGCACAGACACGTGATTGGCTAACGCAACTTCTTCCTCAAAAATTAGAAAGCGACACCGTGTACTTAAACTATCGTCATTTCTCTCTACACTTTTTAACATGTTGTGCTTCCAGCTTCCTGCATGTAATATATGCTCTCAGGTGCTGTCGGTCTACTAGTGCGGCGGGAATTTTAAATTTCTTGGAGAAATTGTTTCTTTGCAAGGCAATGCTTTGTGATATAAAGGTGAAAGCGTCAGTACAAAAGTATCTAAAAGTATATTTTTTCCCTATATTTGTTAGATTTGTGTCTTAGCAACTTGGGAAAAAAATCTGTTATCATTACCTTTTTCCGAAACCATTTCCTTCACGTTTTATCCCTTAATTTATTCGTTGGTAACGCTGGGAAGATTAATTAAACTAACCTATTTTCCATTTGTACTGTGTTTTTTAACCAAAATTACAACAAAAAGTACCTACATGCACATTGTATGTGTTTTTAACACCTCGTACCTGTATACTGATATAATTTAGCTTTCACAGCTGCACCTGACCGTGAAAAAAATAACGTGAATGAATTATACATATAAAATACTCACCTAATAATTGGTAAGAAAGGTTTCTTAAATTTTTTTATACCTACCAAGTCTGACTGATACAAATCCCTGTAACAGGACGGGGAAACGCACTGTCTAATGCACAATACTTTCGACACGCCGTGCCTCCCCAAGCAACCCCTTTCACACGCAGCCTCCACCTCCCTGAACATCACCTCCTATTCAGAAACGTATGAGACAAAGATTCATTCATTCTAAATCAGCTCTTACGTTTTTGTTGGTCTCTTTGTAAGGAAACTCGGGGAACGTGTACGTAACTTTCTGGGCTGCCGCAAATCTGCGGAATAAAAGCATTGACCATACTTGCAGGTAAATAATAGCCGCACTCCATGCGATACTTCTCATATTCGCAAGTAAGTCGACTGGATTCAAATATTTTCACACGCACGTCATTGTTTTTGTTTTGAAAATCAATACGCTTCGCACGGTTTGAAAGGAAGAGCAGAGGCGCGCGCACCATATTTGTATATCCGTCTTTGTTTAATTTGCATTCCCACCTCTCACAATCGGCCTCCTCATTTCCTTCTAATTTGTTTTCTATCATTGTCAAATAATTTAGTTGATGTGTGTTGGGATCAACCACTTGCTGATTGTCGATTTTTTTTCTAACGTGATTGTAAAGTCGTTTTCGCTGTTTGTAGTGGTTTCTAGCAGTTTTTGTTCACCTGTAACGACCTCCTCAAACAAGGTAAGTGATACACAATACAATAGTTCTTTTGTTAATGCGACCTAGTCGATTCATGTCATGCCATTCGATGTTGTCCCAGGAAGTTTTATGTCGGGCAAAGCATGTCTGAAAGCTTTTGTTTTGTTTTTTTTTTGGAAATGGAAAAGCATTTTGCCTTGCCAGTTATCCAGAAGTAATTTGCTTTATACAATTGTTCTTGTTTTTGGCGTGTTGTGTGTAGCTAGTTCATAAAACCGGTCTTTCGTGATTGTGGAATGTTAGAAGCTCCTCTCCACCTCGCCGAACCCTTCGCACTACCTGTGGCTCATAATTTAGATACACGCTGGTTAGATTAATAATGCATGGCATGTACAGCTTTTCATTAATAATTTAAGCTCCCATTACCAAATCCCGCGTTTTCTTATCTTTGATTTGCCGAGCATGTTAATACCTTGAAGATAAGTATATTAACGCATAAGTACATAATAATATATGCATGTGTTGCATGTTGACAGATATAAAAAAAAAATTATACAAAAGGTCCAGACCTTGGTTCTTTTGTTAAAATGCGAATTTTATGAAATAAAATACTTGAAAATCGTGATGTTGGTAGTCCTTTTTTTATTTGTTGTCGTATGTTTGGATGGCTACTAGATTTGACCATTAGATTAGGTAAGTTTAAAAAAAAATACAATTTCGATTTTGAGTATGATGTTCGTAAGATATAGAAGCTTTGTTAAAAGTTTTAAAGAACTTATGATTGTCGAGGTGAATTCGGAATGGGAGCAGCTGGATGCCAGTATTTGGGTATGCTTAATATCAATTTTTTTAATTAATTAAGTACATAGTCGTTGGTTCTAATGCAAAATTTCTTGTTGTTACCCAGATAAGACGTCTTAAAATTTGAACAACTTTCTCTGATTATGATCCTATAATGTATATCATAACGGTTACCTATTTTACAGATTTTAGTTTGTGCAATATTCAGAATTACAGTAGGTAGGTTTCTACTGTACCTACTTTCATATGTTGGTATGGTAATCAGTGATATTGAACTGGATGTATTATACCTAGATATTCACCTTTTATCCAAGTTCGAATAGCGTTGAATATTACGCCTATAAACAATACAACAATAATCGTTTAAATGTGACGAAATATCATACATTCGTCCATTTATTCTCATTAATTTCTCGTTAAAAGTTTTGAAACTCGAATCAGTCCTAAGTGGGTAACAAGTTACAACAAACAAGCTCTTGCAGTGGGTAGATTGTAAAAGCTTTTTGGTCACGTTGATGCTATATTTTGCTGAAAACGACCAAGTGAATATAAATTTTAATTGAATAATGTTAAAAATTTGAAAGGTCTTATAGGATATCATTAACATCTAGCGCCTATTCTGGGTAATGTTATTTTAAATCTAAAATAGCTGTAAAGCAGTTCTCATTTTTAAGAACTAAGTATGCTGTTTCACAATAATCTCGCAATGCTATCTTTTACGTATAAACAGAAACTAGTTCTGAATCTATAAACTAGGTACATTATTAGACAGAGAGCTCAAGAATACCTCTACGCCCAAATACTGTCTCCACTTTATGATATCGTGTATTGGCTGAATATAAAAAGCATTCGTTAATTAAGATAGGTGGTTATAGCTCGTATAGCAGTGGCATGTAGGGTGTAGGGGAACCCAAAATATAGTGATTTTACCTTTATACTATGCTGCAAATAAAAAAAAATAATCTGTCACATTTTAATGGTGCATCATTCCGTATCAACCCTTTAAAATGCTTCAGTTGAACTCTACTTACTGTCGATTAATGCTCTTGGTACACTCACACCTATACCAAATTTGGATTTTCTAAGTTCAAGTATAACTAAGATATTGATTTTTTTCCGAAATTTGAAACCTCACTTTCAAGGTCAGCCATGCAGCTTGGTATAAAGGTAAGTTGCGTTAAATCACCATATTTTGGGCTTCGCTACATACCCCTGGTCTGTGTCGATTCTTATTCGAAACTTATTGCTTTTATTTTCCGTGTGATGTGAAACTTTTATAATTCACAAAAAAACGAGCCAATGTTAATTTAAATAGCCCCTCAACGTATAGTCAGTGACGCAAAATAGTAATGCAAACTAATAAGGATATACGCAATTTAAAATAATTCCCAGTGTCGAATTATATTTATAGTTTTTTTCCTTTTTGCTTTAATTAAAACTAATTTACAGCACAGTTCCACTTTAAATTAATTGGTTTATTAAAACAAATGAAAGAAATAACTATTGCGATCAACTTACTCGATGTAGAGAACTATGCAGTTTCTGTTTAGCAGCAAAACAAAGGTGGCGCATCATAAGCGCTACTAACGAGCGTTCAAATAAAAACGTGGTCGAAGTTGGCTCTGACACATTGGACGTAGGGAGTAGCTTATAGCGACCAACTTAACCTCATTTCTCAACGAGCTGTATAGCAGCTGTCAGTTTCAATAACGTTAATGACTATATAACTTTATTTTAAAGAATAATCGTGATAACAATAACAAACAATTAAAGGAGCTGCGGAAAGTGTCCCCCTCCTTGTTATAACAATAAATTAAAGCAGCTGCTGAAAGTGTCCCCCTCCTTGTTCCAAGCACTTTTCACACCTGTTCCTCAAAGAATTAAAGACATTTTCTAAGATGCTCGGGGTATTGTTAATTTCACGAATCTTGTCTATAAGTCGAGCCTGCAGATGGTTTAAATCAGGAATAGGCAGTTCAAAAATAGTGTTTTTAAGGTAAGGCCACAAAAAGAAATCACACGGCGTAATATCACATGACCTCGGTGGAAATTCATGTTCAGCATTGAGACTTATTAGTCGATTTTGGAAAACTTCCCTCAACATATTCATCGTCTCGCCTGCCGTATGTGCCCTTGCGCCATCTTGTTGAAAGTAAAAGTTTGTAATTTCGTTTTCTTCCAGCTGGTTAACAAAAGGAGCGATAATTTCTTCTCTATACCTTTGCGCAGTAAGAGTACCATTAAAAAAAATAGGTCCATAAATCCTCCTTCGATTGAGAGCACACCAAACTCCAATTTTTTGAGCGTGTAGAGGGCCCTCGACAAAAAAGTTATCTGGTTTTTCAGAAGACCACATTCTCATATTCTGTGAGTTTACGTAACCACTTAAATGAAACCAGGCTTCATCAGAAAAAAAGGTGATATTATGAAGTTCACCGTAGTTGTTTAAAAACCATTCACAAAATACAGCCCGTCGCGGAAAATCAACTTCATGAAGTTCTTGCTGACAAGTTAAACGATAGGAGAACAAACGCAAATCTTTTTTTAACACTGTGTGGCAGGTACCGACTGATACTCCCACCATTTGTGATAAAACACGTACAGAAGTTCTTGGCGCATTTTCCATTATTTGTTGGACATTTTCTTTTAATTCTTCAGTCCGCTTTTTAGGTCGGCCGCTTCCTTCTTTTCTTGTTACACTGCCCGTTTCACGAAAAACATTAACACAACGCTGAACTGCACTTTGAAAAATTTTGTACTCAACAACGCCGGGAAATTGATTTTGAAATTCTATGAAACATTCCTCAATAGAATACTTCCATATTCCATCAATCTTGCGTCCATTTCTAAAGTAGGACTCTATGATAAACACTTTTTGTTCTTGAGAAAACACCATTTTAAACGCTTTTTAAAACGAAAATATTCAAATTGATAGCGGCGATATAGCGCTTTGACAGATGACGTTTAAGTTCATTTGCTATACGCTACGCCCTACGTCCAAATTTTCAGAACCAACTTGACCACGTTTTTATTTGAACGCTCGTTATAAACAAAAAAAAAAAGGAAATGCGCCTTCAAACATGGCTACTTTGTTTACGGACTTCTTAATGTGAAATTCTTGTTACCGATTGAAATAATTAATTTTCAAGGACCCCGCAGTTATTGCGACTGCGAACAATCAAGCAGCTGCTGCATCCAGTATCTGCAGTTGATGCCCTTAAATATTTATCAATTAATCATTGTTAATAGTTTAATTAAGTTTTTATTGCCTTGTATGAATCGGAGTTATCGGTGCCCGCAGCTGTTCCGTTCTTTGTTATGGGAGTTATCGAGTAATCCTTTCCTATATGCTTAGTAAAATCGTGTCAGATATTATTTTTGATAAACAGAGGACGTCATACTCAGGAAAGAGGTTGATATTGATGAAATAAATGACAGTATTGTGATAAAATGTATAAGGTTATATTTCAGTTGGTCCCTTAGAAGAACAAACTGAATCACTAGATTCTGCCTTCAAAAATATGAAAAAAAAGTTGTAATAATCGTAAACCCGAAATTGTTTTCTAAAGGGAAATACAGGCCTATGTTACTTTTATTTTGTGTGGTTGTCCTATCGAAGTTAAAGAACAGTTGTTTTGTAAAAAAAGGAAATTTTTCAATTTCCTTATAAAATTTAGAAAAAACTATCCACAAAGATGTTACGGTAGTTTTTACCCCCATCCCAGTTTACCCACTCCCAGATCATTTGCGAATTAAATCACTAAGACAAAGAGAATATTTAATATTTTATTTATTTATTGCCATAAGTTTCGACGTTGAATAAAATTCTTCCTCAGAGGCGCACCTTCAAGGGTCTGTAAGTAGTTCCCTTAGGAAGGGTTTCTGCGTCTACTATGTTTTCTCTATTTTTTAACGTACAATCTATAATTTTATCAGGCTAATTATGAGCATTGTAGAAAATA